CCCCAATTCACTGTACAACGTGAAACTCGAACAGAGGATTGCGGAGGTGGAATGCACCGAATGCGATGGTTTTACAGACTGCTTTGGGATGGCGGAAACGTCGCTTATCATGACTACATGAAGACCGTGCTGACCAAGGAGGAGATCGAATCAATGATCAATCCAACAGCAACAGCTGAGTATGTCGGCGACATTTTCGAATTCTGGCTTGGAATGCTTGATCTGGGTATTCAATTCCCTACTATGTTCGCTGGATGGGGGGCAAACCTTGACAGTTGCCTCGCAGGACTGGAAGAGTCGTTTTGGCTATTCAGCAGTTCATGTCGACCTACCGACACCATCAACACAAAGCGAAACCGATCCAGGAAAGCATACATCCCGCCGGTCGAGAATGACATGGTAATTACAATCTTGAAAGAAGCAGGAATTTTTGACCTACTCATGCAGAAGAAGATCACCAGAATGCCGGTGCTCCCAGAAGCCAACTACGATGACCGCCCTGAAATGATTGAGGTCTCATCAAGCGATGAAGAGGTGGATGAAGTTGATGAACCTGATGAGGAGACCACGACGCCTACGGCGCGGGGCCCTCGAGCAGAACAAGCTTCAGGAGAAACTGATGCCGGAGCTGGTGACATCGAGATTGAGGAGGAGGAAGATGACATGGGGGGCCAACCTTCGGAAGCGAAGAAGCGCCGAACTGAGGTGCGTGACATCCGTGATCGATTTGAGAAGTTGATTTCAGATGCCTTGGATGTTCAATATTGTTTCATTTGTGGTGGAAGACATGGCATTGATGAATGCACTACACCAGATGATGAGAACATGAGGGACACCATTTGGCGCATGAGACTGATCATGGATCAGAAGTCCAAATCCCCATCATCGTCCGAAAGATCCAAAGCTGCGACCAGAGGCAGAAAAGACAAGCTCCCAAAGAACGTCATGCCACGAGGAAAGCGTTGGGGAAGAACCAGATTCACTGAGAAAGAGGAAGTGACCAAGTGCTTCTACAGTCAGTCAGCCTTTATGTACGATATTGGTGATCGTGAAGAAGGAGGACAATACTTAGTGAATGGTGTTGAAGTCAACCCAGTTAGCCGAGGTGTGAAGAATCGTCATGAGCTTGATATGCTGATTGAACGTGCAGCTGAGGAGTCCCCGCCTGTTTTGCCGACCATTGAGGAGCTGAACGCTTTGAAACACATTGATCATGATATTTACATGAAATGGCTTACTGAAGAAAGAAAACAACATGGAAACAACTGGAACTTCAAGTACATCCAACCATTCACACATGGCCACAATATTGGTACACTTCAACTTGCCCGCATCAGTGGAGAAGAATACCTTGGGATGGGATGGTGGAAGGTGCATCGATATAGCGAGAATGAGTGGATGGGCAACAAGTGGGAAAACCCGCCATGGATAGTCGAACTGTCGAAAAGATTCAATGCTGCGCTACGCCACTCCGTGGGTTGCGTCAGAGACAGCCGAAATCACCGTGGACTACCATGCGATGAGGCAGGTTGGGTCAATGTTGAGTCGATCTTGAAGTACGATGCTATTTGGAGAGACCAACATACATTGGCTGGAACGACACACGTCAACTACCCGATACTTGTTGAGAGGTGGAACAATTTCCAGAGAGTGATTTTCACCGAGTACAAGCAAACGAAGAGAATCCGAGCTCAAGTGCTAGGACTCAAAGTCACAAAGGCTGAGTTGGAATACCTCTTGAACAATTTCAATGATGGATTGACCTCGAGACTTGATCGACAAACGCTGAGGTTGGAGATCGGCACAGCAGATCGAGAGATTTGGCTTTGGCCAGTGGCAATCCGAGCCCCTATGGCACATTCAAGAGTTCAAGGCGGTGTGCACATCGAAGACAAGAAGACTTCCTATCAGATGAACCCTGGAGTAGGATACACTCTTGGAGGAGGATTTCATTGCACCACATTTGACAACATCGCTCAAATCTTCAGAGAAGGACTACGTCCCGGAGGAGGAGGCGACCGCATCAATACGTTCTTCGTGCCATTTGCGCCGTGGGACGTGAGAAGTCAGACGGTGCTGAGATTCAAGAAAATCGATCAAACTGATCTTATCTACATCTACATCACGTACGATTCCATCGCAAAGTTCTCCCCCAGATTGTCAGCAGACGGACACATTTTGGTCCAAGAAACAATTCCATTCGAATCATTCGATGCGGTTTGGTATTACGACTGGAAAGAAAAGGACTATTACCGTCTCATGATCACAAAGGGAAGAGATCAACTTGTTCTTTCTGTGCAAGGAGCAAAGAGGGTGGCCACACTTGAACGATTTGACAAGCTCATTGGGAACATTGTGCCTGATGAAGCATCACCCGATCTGAACGAACTTCGAAAACTTGTCGACATCAGGACAGGTCACTTCAGTCATACTCACAGATTGTTCCCTGGACATCCGGATTGGAATGACGCAATTTCATTATTGGCAGTCACCCATCATCCCAGCAAAGAGGACCATCGACTATGCCCCGCATGTCTGATGGAAACCCCTGCGCCTTTGTCAATTTGTGTGATGTGCAAAGGATATTTGGTGAGTCATGGGTGGAGGAAACGAATCAAAATCACCGTGGCGACCGTACCAAAGGCCGAATCACATCATCGAGAAGAAGATCTCAAAGACCATGTCAAGAAAGCATGGGAGGAGGTGAAGATCGATTTGACAGGTGATGGTGATGACGACGAGGCGATGCCAGATGATGATGACGTCACCATGAAGAGTCCAGAACAAGAACCTCAACCAGAAGAAGAAAATGATGATCAAGCCTCGAAGAAGGGCGACATCAATGATGAGAAAAGAGACTTCAGAGAACAAGATGAGGTCGATGAATTTCTCAATCAAGAAGGAAAACCGACCGACGAAAATGATGATGAAGAAACAGCGGTCGATGAAATCAACATTGAAGAGTACGAGGCTGGAGAAGCTCGTGATGCAGAGATTGAGTACCCCAAGTGGATGCAGCGAATTGAGTTTGGGTCAAAGGTCCTACCAATCGAACCTTGCACCATTGGAGATGCCCAACCAGAATTCATCAAGATCCTCCTGTTGCAGATGGGATTACATATCGTCAGAATCTACAGACTATTCCAACGGAACTTCTGTGGAGACATCGGGACGGCATGGAAACATTTTCAACAGAACCAGAAATTTAGGATGGACCTGGACTCAAGGACACCTTACCTGGGCGAGGATGAAAATGGTGAACTCATTGAACCAACTGCACAACAGATGAAAGAGCTCTACAAAGAGATCGGCCGACCAAATCAAAAGGACGACATCGGAGAAGAGGGATTCGTCAATGCTTATTATGGGGCAGTGGTGCTCAAGCGACTTCTCGTATATACCCTTGAATGTGGCTACACGTATGATGATTTGCAAAACATCTTCTTTGATGAAGAGATGGAGAAGCTGTCGAAGCGTGACACAACAATGGATGAGATGAGAAAGACCACAGCGGCCCGCGACGCCCTTGACCGACAAGACGTCTTGGTCAGAAGAATCATTGCAGGTGCATATAGGGTAAATGCTGTTTATTTCTTCAGGAACGTCGACTTTCAAGACACAATCACACTGAACCCAGTTGACATTGTGTGTGCTCTTCGTCCACCACTTCGAAGAATATCACTTTTACACCTGATCCTTCAGAATGGCCGACAATTGCCAAGACCGCTACTCCAGAAGCTATATGATGCAATCGATGATTACAATCACATCAAGCAACGGGAAGATCAACGACCAAGGTGGGGCATTCACTTGACAGAAGCTCACATACTTGCGATTGCTGATACCCCAACTCCTGCTGATCGTGAACGTACCAACCCAGCTGCTGGCAAATCGAAAGCAGCCCCGAAGGCAGAACCAGCACTGGGAAGAGCGTCAAAAGCGAAAGCATCATCGTCAGCAACATGGAGAACAGTTGAAACCGCTCCTCCGCCAAAACAAGCACCAGTGACCCCGCCAAAGAAAGGTGGAAAAGACCAAGGAAAAGGTGGAAAAGACCAAGGAAAAGGTGGAAGATCTTATTCACACCGCGGCGGAGACTGGAATCATCAGGGATACTATGGATGGGGATATAGATGATTAAGCGATATGACCTCTGCATAGGTCCTGATTGAACCTGGCGATGCGAGGATGCAATCAGTGCTCGAGATTTACCTCTACTTCATTTCGAATGACTTCTGAGAGGACTCTGAGCCGGCTAATTTAGAACCACACATTTTTTTTGAACATCATTGCATGAGACGCTGAGTTTCTACAGCGGTCTACATCTCAACCGACGAAGGAATGGGAAGGTAAACTTCTAATTCCGTAGTCATCTTTGTATTTTATTTTTTTTTCTAATTCACATGCTTGAGTGGGACTCCATGCTGGCTACGCCACATCGGATGAACCTCAACGCTAGACACCGACTACGTCGTGTCTGCGTGCACGTGAACAGACCCTTTATCTTTTGGTAGAGATTGTAGCAAGCCGCCACGTAGATATGAAGTTCTGAACGGACTTTAGCTCTCCATAATTCAATAGATGAACAACTGCAGGTACATAGGAACAATTTAAGGAACATTCCTTTGCGCATGGTCAACAAAGTTGTCCATGCGTGGGGGGTGCGAATGGGATGTAGACCACAGCACGTAACATAATCCCATGTACAGTATACCTTAAGTTCCTGTGGGCCAAGGATCGAAATCCATCGCTCCTTTGGCTCAAGACCCCTGCAAGCTTCAGAAGAAAAGAAAGCCATGCCGAAATTGCTTTTCCGTTGACGTCATCACTGAGAGGATTCGTCTTCTATAACAACCCAACGAACATAATCGGAGAAATAACCTCCGGTTCACAATATATCTGACTGATATATATATATGTATGCATATGTATCATGGTGGCATCCGGGAAAAACATATGGACACATCCTGTAGGAAACCAGCTTTCCACGGCATTGTCAGGCCCTGGAGGCGGAAAACTTTGTGTTTTGTCCATTGGATTTAGTGATGCCCGAGTGACCAACCTGGGCCGGCCGCGTGCTGGGGACAAGAGCGCGGCAGGTAGGAAAGAGTTGCTGCGGCGGGGCTGGAGATGCAAGATTTGATTAGCGATATAAATCCATGTTTTGTGGTATGTCTTATGATTTTTTGGGTTTACCACATTCATTACTTGTTGTTGAGCGATCATTTTTGGGGGCAATCATAGTTTAGCTTAGGGAAAAAACATAGGGTCAACTTGGGCAAATGTGGTACTCGTATGTCTAACGTGTTTTTGGCTTTACCAATTACTTATGTTTGAAGTACCTTGTTCATTTTCATCCCCAAAATGGGAGTATAGTTTGAAGGTCTGGTGATAAGGGAGATAGACATCCAGCTATGCGGGTAGTACACCAACACCCAAATTGAGCGCCACAAAACAATAGCAGAGTGAGGAACCCGATTACTTCGATTATAGCGATATATTTTCATCAGTGTTCTTGCCAATCATTGAAATTGAGTTGACCATCATAAATCCAATTTTCATATCATATAGAATCATATAAAATGATGGTTCAGTATGCTTCAGTAAGTCCAGCAATCAAAATAGACATGGGTTAAAACATCATTCATCAATTCACAGTTTTTGCTAATATCCCTCAGTAACTTCAGAAATCATTTTCGAACATTGATTTTCATATTGGTTAACTATCTAGTTACCGGTTAAGAAACATCAATTCACAGTTAATTAACTATATATGAACCGTCCATTTTTTTTTTTTGGGTGGTTTCCATCACTGTTCCACGATTCCACCAGGACAGCGGACGAGGCGTGGAGCGGTGGTTTTTTCAGGGGTTGGTTGGTTGAAATCAGGTGGGATTGAGCCGCTCTGGTTTTCCATGTGTTTTCCATGGGATTTCCAATAAACCAACATGATATGACTCTTGATAGATCTGAAAATTCATCAGCAATTCTGGCTGGTTTTTCATAGTGAATTGCTTGAAGGGAAAGCCTGGGGAATTTCAGCAGCAATTCGATGGGATTGCACCATTCGCATTCTATGGGAAAGTGATGGTCCATTGGAGTTGGGTAAGTTGATAGAAACAGCTACAGGATTAGAGAAAGTTGCTGATATCGTGTCACATAATCCGACGATATCCAATGATGATATTCATGGTTTCAGTCGCAAGACTGTAAGCAACCCATTGGACAAGGATTTTACGGTGATTCTCTTCCGATTCTTGTTGAGTGCATTTCCTGGTGGATATTATGCCGAGCCCCGCATGTATTGATGGCCATATTTCCCGCATGTATAGATGTTGTAGAAATGACTGTGGTGCACATGGCTGCGGTTGCGAGACTTTGAAACAAATCGTGAAGCCATAGGACAGGAGGTCCCAAAGCTGGGTGTTTCATGGCCGATTTTGGATTTTAGTTCGTTTTTGTTTACATTGACAATTTCTTTTTTTCTGTGATATGATTAGTTTTTTGGGTGGTTGTTGGTTCCATTCCCTTTCTGTTGTGTATCTTCCAGTTTTTCTCCCAAATTATGATGGTAACTCTCCAGTTTGACAGAGGCTAGAAATCACTGTGCCACTTGATAAATTGATAGTCAATTCCTATTGAGTTGATCAGATGAATTGGTGCTTGATTAATGCGCGACTAATGTTTCTAAAGTTGAACTTATATTTTGGTCATGGTGATAATTATTTACATATTCGTAAATTATTATATATAACCTGCAACATGTATGTAATGCAACCCCGGAACCCCCCCAAAAATAGCAATAATCACGTTGATCTTCTCCCATCACCTTCTCACCTTGGTCGCGACTCAACAGTCAAGCCCTGGCCAAGAACACCGGTGCGCGCTGTGCGCGGTGACCGGCGCCATGGTGGTTGCGCACCGTGGCAAAGTCTCGTGGATCCATGGCGCCATGAGAGCTGGGTGGACCTTGGTGATCTCAGGGGTTTCAGCGACAGTCTAAAAACATCGGGGTTGGTCAAGAAAAGGATTGCTGGTTGGTGGTGACTGGAACATGGCTGGATGATTTTCCATTTCATTCATATATGGGATGTCATCCGCCAACTTAAATTGACTTTCACTCCATCATTTTTTTCAGAGGGGTTAGCAGCAACCACCAACCAGATATAACCAGCATTAACCACCATCAACCATCGGGGACTTAAGCAGCCGGGGATGTACTTTACTTAGCTTGAGATGGGAGCCGCCGGTGGAGCCGTGGAGGGGTCCATCTTGGTCCATCTTTGGTTGCCACTTTTGGCAACGCCTACCCTCGAAATGTTATGAATGGTCCATAACTATGGAAAATATCACCATTTTCAATAGGTAAACCCAGGTATGGCCCATCTATAAATGGGCCATTTTCCATGGAACATGGCCCATTTATAGATGGTTTAGCGTTCTTCAAAATGGGGATTTTCCATGGCGAACTGTTATATAGGTTTAATAACCAGATGGTATATCCCTATAGACTCATAGACCTCAAAGATCCTCAAAGTCACTGTGGTGGTGCTGGCCCAATGTTTTCGTTGACGACTCACATGTGGACCATAGGGTATTAAGGATGTCCCAGTGATCCTAATTCACATCTGAGGAAGCACACATTACGAAGCTCCAGGTGGTATTTCAGCATGTTTCATCCTGGGAATGAACTTTTCCAAGGGGATGAATCAACACCAAAAACATCCAATTTGGAGAGATTTTGTCCTCCATTCACCAGTTATGTTGGTGTTCACCAGGGGTACAGGATGGTACAGGGGTTTCAATCCATCAATATCCATTTTGGGCTGAAACTATGTCTAGCTTCCACCTGAAAGCAAGGAGATGGTGGCTATTGCAATGCCTTTGCTCCTTGGCAAGCAGCTGAACTAAAGACAACTGCATTTTTCGTGCCAGCTGGCTGCTGTTTCTGGGGGCCCAAAAGTACTTACTGATTTTGAGAAATGGGGGAATGAAATGATTCTTATATAGATATTTATTATTGTAGATCATTCCCCCATTCCCTACGTTTAGCACCTAAGAGAATGGCCAAGCAGATTCTTTGATGGCAATCAAATATGACATAACAAGTACCCTCTGGTAATCAAACATGGCAATGGACAATCTTCCATTTATAGTTGATTTTGCAGCTACCCTCAATTTTTAGGGAATTTTCAACTGCATGTTTAATTACCCGAGAATGTAATAAACCATCCCCAAAGTTACCATAAATAGGTGGTGTGAACCATCAAAATATGGGTGGTTTATTTATGCTTACATATTTTATTGTTTGTTATTGCCATGTTTGACTACTAGAGGGTAAATCCTACATTCATTTCATTCAATATCAACCATTATCAATGATTCACCATTATTAACACTTATTTTTCCATTTAATCCCATGAAATCACCATTAAGTCCCATCAAATCACCATAAGATCATCATGATTTCTCATTAAATTCCATAAAATCCCATAAATTCCGTAAAATCCGTAAAATTCCATTACTGTAAAACATAAGTATATCATTTCTGGTTGGTTGAAGTCCCCTGTCTCCATACGTCTTAAGGCGCCAAGATGGTCGCGGGCGATTGGGCGGACCTGGCGGCGTTCCGAGATCTGGGGTCGATGCCGAAGGAGAAACATGGGAAGCAAACTGATTTGGAGATACATGGGGATACTGAGTACAGTATAACATAGTATATACCCTCTGGTTATTTGACATAGCCATGGAAAATCACCATTTTTAATAGGTAAACCATCTATAAATGGGCCATTTTCCATGGCTATGTTAAATAACCAGATGGTATATATATATATTAAATTATATACATCTTAATACTAGTTTTTGGGTCAAAATCGAGCTTGATTGAGAATCTTGATTTGGTTCAATCCCCAAGATCATTTGGCTCATCCATATATTTCCCCATCAAGTGGAACGTGAGCAGAATTCAAGATTCTCAGCAATGTTGGGGGGAACACAAAGGTTCACCCTTGTGTGATTTCACATCTCGACATCTTACGACTCCACGAGGCCATGAAGCTATACATACCCCAGATTTTGGGATGTAAAGAGAGGTACCGATGGATTATATATGATTATATAATATGATGAGGATGTTGCATAATTAACATCCATAGTCCATAATGTATAATAGTAAAGGTAGTTGCCACTTGGTTATGATTGGAATTGAGGTACTGATGAGTACATGCACAATCTTGATGATTGAACCCAAAAACGGAGTCAATCAGTCAATGATTTCGAGCAACTTTCCACTTAAGCGACATTATCTCGACTCACTCCGTGTAGGCCCCCGCAGTGGTTTCAGTTAGGCCCCCGCAGTGGTTTCAGTTGGCAAACCATCCCCCTCAATAATCGATATATATATATATAACATTATAATATATATATATATAATATTATAAATATAATATTTTATGATATACGTACATCGATATATCTACCATTAATCATAGAAGTTGCCCACTTCTGCCCCAAAGTTAGTGTCGTTGTCACCAACGTTTTTTTTTGGACTGTCCGTGACAGTCAGGAGACGCAGAAGGTCTTCGAGCTGGCCGCCAAAAAGGCGGACGACCTAGTCCGGAAGCCCAGCTGCGGGGGTGTGTCTTTGAAAATAGGGTTTATCCCCCAAAATGGCCAGTTTTTTTCGGGACAATTATGATCTTAAGAATGGGATTTTGGATGATTTTGGGCTACCCTATTTTCAGACAAAGCCAGAAAATTTATGGGACTTTATAAGATATTTATGGGATTGGTAGTGTAAAAATGTATCAAATAGCTGTTAACATAGTAGGATATGCATAGTGGGAAAATCATCTATAAATGGAGGTCATCAAACATGGCTCGGTGGCTGGGAAACTGATCGAACTAATTCAGCGGCGTTCGGTCCAAGGCTGTTCATGGATGGTTTCTGGGGTTATACTACCCAAATCTACCCAATATACCCTCTGGTGAACTAACATAGCGATTGAAAATTGCCATTTCTGGTTGAATTACCCATAAAACATGGTGATTTTCCATAGCTATGTTAGTTTACCAGAGGGTATTGGGGATTTTCACAGTCCATGATTGGAATTAATTGATGATCGCGGATTTTGTCAAGCAATCGACATAGTGACTATGATGCTGGGTCTATGTTGATCCCACCATATGGCGGGTTCAGATTGATCGATCATCCATCAAACCATATCAATTTTTATGGGATTAAGGGAAAATCTACAGGAAACCATGGGGTTTTTACCATGAAATATGGGGGTTTCCGGAGTTTCCTGTAAATTTCCCCTTGCCTTAAACCAATCCAATGAAAACAATGGGATGTGTGGGACCTGTTGTCGATCATCAAGCCGCGCATGGTGGTAGATCCAGGAATCCAAGGGTTGACACGAATTGATCCACCAGTGACCCAGGAAGCGAAATTTTAGGGATACAGTTGCTATAGTTCATAGGAATATCATGGGAATATCATCCTTCAAGGGACATATATAATAATCAACAATAAGTATATGGATTACCAGGTTTGCCTGAAATTTTAGAGAACAAAATCCATTGCTTCAGAAGCCCATGACATTATCCAATCACCAACTCAGCGATGCTGAGTGCCCAATGAAATGTTTAGGCAACAGAAAGGCAACAGGATTCACATCTATGATATACTACGCATACGGAATTATGTGCATGGAAACTGGGTAAATTATAACGACCTCACTACGACCTCACCATAGATGATGGCTAGTAAGGGGAATTATCCCAACATGACCTTAATTACCTTAATTAGTCTTAATTCAGGTTTGTGACTTGTGACATATAATATTTTACCCAGATAGAATCCATCCTCACAATTTTTTGTGTCAAATTTTCACCCATGGCCTTGACCCCCCAAACTACAACTCAAAAGCGATAGTTCTATAGTTGGTTCTCTGGGATTTTTCGAAAGTGTGTCATTTCTCAGGGGTTGGTAAATGTCCCATTTTGGGAATATTGGACATCACCTTATAGTAGCCATGGCATTGACCATATACCGATTTTGGTTGGGTGATGTTCAATGGGGACATTTAATGACCCATGTTTCTCTGATTTTGGGCGTGGACGTTGCTTGTTTTTATTGCGATGGCTTCAGGCTGAGAATGCCGTCCAGAAGGACCGAAACCTACCAAGAGCGGACGACGGGGGACAACAAAAAATATGCCTAAAGCAACAAGAAATGAAGGATTTAAGCAAGAAAAATGGTGGTATAATTGCAGTTGAAAGGAATGGAATGGGATAGAATGTTATACCTCACGTCCCGACCTCACTGGAATGATGGGAATGGGGTAACTGGGCCCCAAATTAGCCAAACAGAACGCAGCTCAGTGAATTCTTAAACTGCAGATAGCCTAAATCTTAACAATATTTTACTACTCAAACATGAGTGTCAGTCCCCGCAAGTTCCAATGACCCAGCTGCCAGGAATGCCTAGAGGACATGCCACAAGTAGCAAGTTGGTCTGAAAGCAAACGGAAGCGCCTTGGACCTGCACGTTTGTTTTTTTGGGTTGAAAATTGCGAACATCATCCGTAAATGGAGGCTTTGATGGGAAAATCATCGAACCATTGGTATGTTTGATTAGCAGAGGGTAACATTGGGGTTGAGGATCAAAAGAAATATTATTGGTATCAAAAAAACATATCCAACAGATTAAAAAAATGTTGGTATAAAAAAACATATCCCCAGAAACTCATACCCTCATCAACCATTGAGCGCACCACTTGCTCCACATTGCGCACCAATTGCTCTCATCGCTAACTCAGATGCTAATACCAATGCGTCGGTCTCCGGACTGTTACTGCACATATGTCGGTGTGTCTGCATTCATATGTGGATGTATGCATGTACGCACGTGTGCATGTATGTCTGTATCTGTCTGTATGCATGTCGTTAGTGGATGTATGCATGTACGCGCCCATGCATGTATATCTGTATGCATGTCTGCATGTACGTGTGTTTTAAAGCAGCATTCTTCTACTGGACGTGTCTTACTTTTGCCTGAAGGCCCAAAGACTAGGACGCCAACATAAGATAGCAACTCAAGATGTAGCAGTACGCTTTAAACATGCGCACAGGTGCGCATGTTGCGGCTTGCGCAGTGCGAAGCAGATCTACTCATTAGGGAGGGTAGGCATGGCAGTGCCATACCTATGTGTGAAGGCACAAACATCAAGACGCCAGCAGAAGGATTGCAGAACTCAGGATATAGCAGTACGTGTTAAACCTGTGCACAGTTGCGCATACAGCTCCGCACAAGATGTACCAGTATGCTCTAAGCTTGGGCGCAGTTCTGCGCAAAGCAGATCTACTCATGAGGCAGGGTAGACATGGCCCTTGCAACGTGGTGAAGCTGCAACTTTTCTAATTTGCTGCTTTCCTTGCATTCTACGCTCCTTCCTTCCTTCCTTCCTTCCGTCCTTCCTTCCTTCCTTCCTTCTCCCAGAATAGTTTTTTTGATCCCGATAATATGTTTTTTTGATCCTAATCATATTCTTTTGATCCTAATAATATGTTTTTTTGATGCGTATCCCGTAACATTGCGGTAACATGGAATCTTTTTTTGGGATTGGTTTTCCAAGTGCATAGAAGATGCTTTTTTGGTTCACCTGACTTTTTTGTCAGGTTCCATGGCCATTCATGTTGCTGCAATAAAACCCTGTGGCTTCCATTGCAAGGTAAAAGTCCGGACATCATCAGTTATTTGTAGGTAACTATTTCTAGGAACATATTCCCAAAATCACTGGGTGCACCCAGAATCATCTATTGTTTGTTGTTTTTTTGTAAACAGATGTGAACGGATATCCCCGAGACGCAGGCAAGTGAGTCATGCAGCCATGTGGATGACTATTCAGTCACAAGATGTTAATGGGTCGGTGACCACTCCATTGTTCCCAGAATTTGGTTTAAAAGAACCGTAAAACAGGGTAGCGCCGCTGATAGCGACCCTGGGCCTTTCATCACCATACTCATACATGTTTGTCTCCAATGTCCCACGTTTTGCACGTTTTCATTCATGTTGGAAATTTGCACACGTGCATTTTGCCCCATTTTTTGCATGGGGGCATGTCCATCATGTGCGATTTGCATTGTAGTTGCGATGCAAACCTCGGTTTTTTCTGCGTGGGCACGTTTTCGGACTCTTATCCTTGATGCTTTGCAGCTCTTTTGCCCAACGCATCTGCCAGATTCATTTTATGATTCCAGCGAAACTGAAAGGATCGCACATACTGCTCAAGCCGTGCAGCATCTCTTGTGCCCAATCCTTCACGAGTGCTTAACTCTTTGGGCACATACTTTTTCAGATGGCGCCACACCTGATCGAGCAATTGTGTCCAACCACCCAACCCTATGTCCAACGTAGCGTGCACATCCGATGCAACTTCAAACCAACGTCAACATGCCCCACCCCACCCCACCCCACCCAACCCTATGTCCAACGTAGCGTGCACATCCGATGCAACTTCAAACCAACGTCAACATGCCCCACCCCACCCCACCCCACCCAACCCTATGTCCAACGTAGCGTGCACATCCGATGCAACTTCAAACCAACGTCAACATGCCCCACCCCACCCCACCCCACCCAACCCTATGTCCAACGTAGCGTGCACATCCGATGCAACTTCAAACCAACGTCAACATGCCCCACCCCACCCCACCCCACCCCGACCCCTATCTACTCATGTGGGTAGAAGCAAGAACAGATACAACAAGCCACCAAGCCCAGCTAAAGTGCAACCAAGCGTTGTCGAACCAAAGCTTCCCCTCTGAGATTCTGACCTGGCCAAAGCACGCGTCGACACTAGTGCTATGGGGTCGCTAACGGAGGCGTTAGCCAAAACAGCGAAGCCTTAGAATATTTGATGGATGAAAGATGATGAATTCTCTTCCATTCCTGGTTCTCCTGAAGCCTAACTTTCCTCCACAGAAAAGAAGTCCCGCTTTAATAAGCTGATGGGTGGTTCTTTGCCAGGAATGTTTCAGATCTGGTTTAAAAGAAGCAAATTATCGAAACATTTTCTGCAAATTCGAGAGTAATTACATGTTCCCTCCAAGTCGCCCAAAACAGTCTTCTCTAAAGTGGATCAGCAAAAAGGGCATAGCTTGACTTTGAGCCATTTTCTAAATTGATATCGTAAGAAAAATGCTGTATATCCAGGTCCATGTCATGTTCATGACATTTACCCTCTGGTAATTTAACATAGCTATTGAAAATCACCATTTTCAATGGGTAAATCCACTATAAATGGCCATTATCAATAGCTATTTTGACATAACCAGAGGGTACAACCAGCATTGCCCAAGATAACTTCGGGGCCAACTTCGGGGAAGTGTTACTGACTTGCGACGTCACGCGACTCGTGGGATGAACCACCAATGGGATTCTGATATGCTTGATCATAGAAGTCTAACATCATAGTTATCCTATTATATACATAATCACATATAATCACATATAATCACATATAGTCACATATAATCACATATATAATATTTCTACATCTATAATATATTCTTATATATATATATAATATATTTATGTTTATCATGATAAATCCATAGCAGCATTTTCAATAGGACTATGGTAATCCCATCTTTCGCTCAGGAAATGCTGCGATGAAATGGGCCTCGGCTGTGCGCCAGCGGCCGCACCTGAACCTGGAAAAAGGTGCGGGCCGGCCGTTGTCGTTCAACGGTGAAATCCTTAAAAAAAAGGGAATGCATCAAATGTTGATACACATTGTAGTTTTGATAAGTTTTTGAAAAACATTGATACACAGTTTCCAATTTTTACAATTCATCTAGTTTTAGTATGTTTTAGTAAAGATGTTAGTTGAAAGAATTGGAACATGTTATAGTGAAAATTGATTAGGCTATGGATCAATACCTATAAATAGCAACTTCAGGGGAATGAACATCCATTTACCAGCTATTTTGATGTTCACCAGGGGTACAAGGTTTTGACACACTGCCATAAAGGTCTGTTACACGGATCATGTACATGATATTTTTGTTAGTCAAATATCAGTAGACAAGGGGGGATGGCTGGAGACAAACATCCATTTACCAAAGTTGAAAGCCCATTTAATGGACTTGTGAAATGTGTGCACCCAGTACAGTAAACAAGGGGATTGACGATTTCAATGAACAAAAGGGGGTTGAACATTCAAGAAACATTGGGATCATCTCCAACAGGGACAAATCATGTCCACTTTTGGATCGACAATTTACATATACCCAAAAAAGACCCAGTACCCAGTGGATGAAATGGGGCAGAAAGCTTCCTTGACATTGACATGTTTCATACTTTTACCATTTATTTTGGCACCAAATATGATGACTTCCAATCTCATGACCATGTGGTAGATTTGTGGTGACTTTTTGGATGCTGCTGGTTTTTCAATAAGCAGCGAGACCGATTTTCGAACATTTCAAAGGATGCTCATCCCGCAACAGGGGTTGATATACCTATCATGATATTTACCTATCATGATATACCTATCATATACCTATCATAAGTCATATCATAACGGTTGCTGCGATTACTTCAGTGAGTCGCTTTGTTTGATTCCATCCGCACCAGGGAAGAGAACCCCTTCCATGCGCTGGTCTTCAGACTCAAGGACCGGTCTGAATGTCATGGTCAAGCGGGGGATTTGATGGTCACACGGCTGTTGTTGAGGTATAGTTTGATGATGTTTGGTGCTTTATATTTTGCCATACATGGGGAATCATGGGGATGTATAGGATATACCATGGTAGGAAGATGATTTTGCACATTATCTCAAACTATAGCCACTGTATGCCATTGTGACATTTCCTTCATCTTATGTTGGAAGTTGGAAGCATTTCAGGTCCAATGACTTCAAAGTATTACAAGAAACAGCCTGCTCATGGACCAAACATGTTCAGATGCCTTTTTGGGGAGCAGATCTCATTACGAATCAAGGGAAAATCGTCCCTGTTTGACCTTTGCAGGAAAGAGAAGTGCCTGTTGGTCGCCTGGCAATTCATTTTTGGGCCCAACTCCCATTGTAAGTGCGAAATTTGCGAACTGTTTGATCGCCCTACCTCATTGTTCACAATCCATATTGGTGGGTAGAATCCCCATGTTTTGTTTTTTTTGAACCGCCATATTTTGTTGGCGGAATCCCCATATTTTGTTGCCTACGAATCCACATGTTTTTTGCTTAACTTGCGAGTATTGTTGAGTAATTCCCCGTTTTTGATGAGGACATACATTACATGATGAATTTGTTTCGTCTCTTGCAAACCAAGTTTCTTAGTTGAGCAGCCATTGTGAATCTCCATTTCCATCCGACTCAATTTGTCTTGCTTGAATCCCCATATATTGATGCATACATCGCCATGTTCAAAGATGAGAGTCGATGCTTATCTATGCTTAATTTATGCTGGGCAAATGTGAGAACTTTAGCGTCTTTATGATAAATTCCCATTACCAAATCCAACAAGGCTTCATCTTTTGCATATGTTTGTTGCTTGAATCGGTCGAAAAAAAAACCACTGTTTGTTTCCCGGATTGGCTGAAGATGTTCACCGGTGAGTCCACTATGACAGGGGACTCTGGGGTCTGAATTGGTTCCCTTCAAACGTGAAGCCATAAATCGTCAACGTTGTTTGCGAAGAACTTTTTACAGTAGTGGCTCACATTTTCTTCAGCACAATCCACTACGACTCTATGAGTCATGTGGAATCTGAAATTATGGCCACTATGGCTGAGACAAATCCTTGGGTGTTTCAGTTCCTAGAAGCTCTCAATACATTGATGATTTACCATCCAAAATCACCCCAGGATCAACCAGTCATGTAAGCAAAAACATAATATGATGATCATACCCATCAGCCAGTCGTGTAAGTCAAAACATCATATGACCAAAGTCTATGTTATCCCTGACATGTGATATCACAATATATCACATCTGACATACAGTATCAATTCTGGTTGGTGGTTTGGAACATGGCTATCATTTTTCCATGTATTGGGAATGTCATCATCCCAACTGACGAACTCCATCATTTTTCAGAGGGGTAGGTATACCACCAACCAGATTTCCTCGCATGACATTAATATCACACCTGGCGCATCTCAGGTGAGGACTTTAGCTTTATGATCCCCGTGTCCGTGACCACGGATCTGTCAGTGTCGCTGAGCCATACGGCCACCCTGCAGTCAGGAGCGGTGGTTGTGTGGCTGTTTTTCTAATATGATTAATAATAGCAATTAAGACATGACTAATTGATAGTAATTAACTAATTCAGATATGGGGTCGACAAAGAACGATAGTAGTAAAGATACGACTAATTGATGATGAGATATATTATTAATGAACATTAATGAAGCTATTATATACTTGAAATGGAAGCCATTGATGCAATTAGTCACACTAATCAAAATGTACGTTCAAAATGGGATATGTAACCGGATTTAACTTATGGAATGTGATATTGTGAAGTTTTCTTTCCCAGAATTTTGGGATATCATAGTGATATCCAATGGTATACACGACACGGGATATACCACGATGAGAGGTAGTTGAATGGAATACCCCAACAACAATGGATCACACCAAGCACTTTCTGGGATACAATGGGATGGGATAGTTGGGAGATACCGGGATTCCGGGTGGGATAATATTACTACCCTCTGGTAAATGTTTACATGGCAAACTGGAAAATCACTATCTTTAAGTTCGGTAAATCAACTATTTCTATGGGCCATTTTCAATAGCTATGTTAGTTCAATGTCATGATTCGCAGGTATTTTCCCAAAGAACAAGTGTTAATAAGTTAAATTCAAAACCAAGATGAGAACTATTAATCTGGTAAATTCAATTCAAAACCCCAATTCCAAGGTATACCCCGTTGCATTTTTTTTTTCGGTTATTTCTTCAGCAGATATCACCCAGATGAGAACTGGGCCTGGGGGTTGGGGATTTCAACGGCGCAGCAACCGACTAACCCTGGCCGACTTGGCCGACGACTGGCTCCCTTCTTTTGGGATCTCGGCACTGTCTACAAAATCAAAAGGTATAAAAAGTGTATTTTATGTTCATGCATCATAAATCAATATAAATCATAAATCATTATGATATGTATATATATATATAGTACCTATATATATATATATGATAGATATATAGATATTATGATATGTTGTATTTGCTTTTGTGTGGCTCAGAGACCCTTTCTTCACCAACGTTGCTTGCTTCAACCCATCCGAGAATTTTTCAGCCAAGATCTGCGGATCAAAAGGAATCTCAGAATCTCATAGAATCTCAGAACTCTGGAGATTTCGCTGGTGTTTTTGTTGCAACTTTAATACATGGCAGTGTGTCAAAACCTTGTACCCCTGTAGTTCACATCAAAATAGCTGGGATTTATGGATGTTCATCCCACTAAAAATGGTATTATAATAGGTATTGACCCATCCCCACATAGGTCCGTCCAAATTGAGGGAATGATGAATTTCATCTGGCTATCTCCGTGGGGGCCGGCGCTTGGTGGTTTCGATGAGTTTTCCGTGTCCAGGAGATTCCCTCCCTTCGTGGCTGAACTTTGAGCCCGGATCCTTGCTCTTCGCAGGCGCACACCGCGCCGTGGACATCTGGGTGATACCGGCAGAGCGCTACATGACTAGTAACGATCTAAACGGGAAGCACCTCAAAGGAAAAATGTGAAAAAAAAGAGGTAAGATATGGTGAGATGATATTTTGAGGAAGCATGTTCAATTCAGATTATTCAGCCAGATGTTGTTAAAAAACCACGTTTGATCACATAGCCGGGCAGTCAATCACAGTCCCAGCCATGTTTCGGCTTGGATGTCGGTCTTGAATTGGATCACTATAACTATCCATATTATCCATCAGGCATAACACTGATAACTGGAGTATTATATTATATATATATTGGTAATATATCTAATAACAATGGGATATAAATACCCTCTGGTAAATTAAGATAGACCCTGGTAGTAAGGGGTGGGAAGACTAGTTTCCACTATAAATTGGTAATTTTCAGGGTCTATGTTAATTTACCAGAGGGTAATATTGGACCATCGCTTTGTAGAAAAAGTTACCCCATGATATAAAACAAAATCAGCACAGCATCGGCATCCTAGGCATCTCCACCGAGAAAATTTGAGGTTTTCACCGAGCACCATTTTTTCAGGATCTATGGCTGATTGAAAAACAATTGAACAAGTACAGTCAAGGTTTATGGGTAGAAGCATTTTACCATATTTTACCATATGTTACCATATGTTACCATATTTTACCATATTTTACCATATTTTACCAGGATCAATTGCTATTTGATGAGTTTTCTTTTACCCAGAACATCTCCCTGTCGACCTCCGGCGAGCCGACCTTCGCCCATTGGTGCGTCGACTGTCAGGTGTTCCACCAAAGGTGGGTCTCTTCCCCATCAAGGTGAGCACTAAGAACATGCAGACGGGAGTGGAGATGGCTGCTGGGCCTTCGTGGAAAAACGTGACCGGTGGGGGAAAGGCGATGGCTGGGAGTTTTGCGGATGATGGGAGATAGATTGATTCAGATTCAGAACGGGGGGTAGCTTTTGATTTTTGGGAAACCTCCATACATAACTTGGAGAGATGACTTGGGTTTTTTTCCACTGTGAGGGACCTATGGGGAACCACAGCGAAGGTGACCATACTGCCCCAAAACGGGGTCGCGAAGGTGACTCTGGGACGTTGTCTAAGCTGTTCTGAGTCTGAGTCCATGATTGTTGGAAGATGTTTTCTTGGGGATTCAGACCTACCAAGTCGATGGTTGCGAAGTCCTGCATCACCTTGGTTGAAACCCTATCTGGTTGCTGGTGACTGGAACATGGCTGGATTATGACTTTCCATCATATCGGGAAGGTCATCATCCCAACTGACTCTTATATTTTTCAGAGGGTTGAGCAGCAACCACCAACCAGCTATAAATAATGGGATAAACCACATCCCTCAACTGGTTTTAATTGGATTTCGCTGGCCCATTCACCGTATCTGGTGCATTTTCCCATCAACCCGCCATGACTGGGTCTTTGTGACTTGGCTCTAAGGGACAAATGTTCTTCGACCTGAGAGTGGTTCAGAAAGCAGTGCTGAAAATAGAAGAAGTGCCTTTGACCAGCAGAACATGTGGGATATATCTGGAGGTTTCTTAAAATAGTGCTACCCCCAAAATCATCATAGTTGGACTTTCCACTACAAACCATCCAGCTATTGGGGTACCCCATTCCAGGAAACCCCCATATATACATAATTATACATAATTATACATATATATATAATTATATATATAATTATAAATACATAATATAATTTCACCGGATGTAAACCAGCAAGACACGGGTTGACAAACAGCTGTTGACCAGCAGAAATGTTTTCTTCAAATCAGCATTGGGGAGACAAACCAGCAGATACTGGATGTACATAATGAACAGTTGGATATTTCGTGATATAAGTACCCTCCAGCAATCAAACATAAGTTCGATCCTTTTCCCATTTCATTGCCCATTTACGGCCGCTTCCGCCGGAGGTAACACAAATTGTGAATTCCCATGTGTTTTTTTACCTCGAGAAAAGGGACAAACCTGCAATCCGAACAGCGCACACGAGCCCTCGGGGGGTTGGGAGATGGGGCCCCTAGAACTATGGTGAACTATATCCACTTCTGGAACTGCCAATGGGGTATAGTATGGTATAGTGGATATACCCTCTGGTAAACAAAGATAGCTATTGAACATGACCATAGAAATCGTTGATTTTCCCATTCAAAATGCTGATTTTCCATAGTTTTTTGTATGTTTACCAGAGGTAGTGGATATAGTACTTGGAGATGATACAACTGGCACAACAGCAGGGAACCATCCTATAGGTCGCAAAAAACATCCGAAGTGTTTGTACCTTGACACTCACTTGACCCATAGAAATGGGTAAAAACATGGTAACTCTATGCACAAATTACCTGAATTCGGTGGGCTAGATACATGTGAGTACCATTTGTCAATTCTTGTGACTTTCCATTGCAGGCGCTGAAGAAACTTCCTCACAAGACGCTGAGGACGCCGCGGAGCCCGTTAGCCGGCAAAATATCCCTGGTGAACTGTGGGATAAATAGCAGGCTTTGGTAAATGTCCCATGGCTGATTTGTTTCACATCACTTGAAAAAGTCTCTGTTGGAGATGATCTCCCCAATATTTAAGGGTGATGTGAAAAATTACCCTCTGGTAAACGTTTACATAGCTATGGAAAATCACTATTTTTAATGGGTAAATCCACTATAAATGGCCATTTTCAATAGCTATGTTAGTTTACCAGAGGGTAACTAGGACATTTACCACGCCCTGAATAGGATGAATCCACTCAAAAAGACTGGGGTAAACTAACCGTTACTAACCTACTTACGATTCGTTGGATGAAGCATCAAGTACAGTAACATACCGAAAACGTCCAGTTTTTTTTTTTTAAAACTGTGTCTGCTAGCTACGAAAGAAACATCTTTACATCCGAGAAGAACCATCCTGTTGTACCCTGATTTTGAGAGTTTTTGGAGCCAAGTGGAGGTTTCCTAAGTCATGGTACCCCCTAAGTTCACCCTATGTTCATCTATTTTCTTAGGATTTTCCCATGGAAATAAACCCTGGTTGGTGGTTTGGAACATGAATTTATTTTTCCATATATTGCGAACAATAATCCCATTTGACGAAGTCCATCATTTTTCAGAGGGGTTAGCAGCAACCACCAACCAGATATTTATATATATATATAGATTATATTAACCATATATTAACCACATATGAACCATTATATTATATTAACCCTCCTATTGGGGTAGGATTTTCCCATGGTTAAATACGGTGGGCCACGTGACATCTTTTCCTGTTTCAGCATCCCGGCGTGGGGGTGGTACTGTTGGTCAGGACACATGTACGTCCCAGGATGGTGGACCAGGGCGAGGCTGGGTGAAGTTTTTCGGTGAAGTTTTTCGGGTTTTCATCCACTTTTTGCACTGGAAGATACTGGAGTTATGATATCTACTTAATGTTGGATGAAGCAGTTATTGTAGCTTTGAACCTTTGAACCAGAATGTTCTTGCCGCAGAATTCCGGGGTGTCCAAGTGGTGTTTATCTATTGGATGGGGGTTGCTGCAATTTGGCAAAGGACGAATCTAATGTGTGATGCGAAAATCCGTGAAGATCATCGATGGGGGATTATCAAGCGCCAGTGAAACTGAGATGAATAGACCGTTGATCAATTAGATAGGACCCCCATTGAACAAAGTACAATTTGAAATGGCACCCTCCATACGAATCAACGAGGATTTCTTTCATCCTGGCTTATAGCATTACACTGGTTGGTGTGTGGAAGATAACCGCTGTAGATATTCCTTTTGAATCACCCGAAAAAAACATATACGTTTAATTCAGGTGTCCTAAATAGAGGGATTCCAAATTTACCCTCTGGTTATTTAACATAGCCATGGGAAATGGCCCATTTATAGAGGTTTACCCATTAAATGGTGATTTTCCATGGCTATGTTAAATAACCAGAGGGTAAATGGAGAAACCAATGGTTTTAGGGTACCGAAATGTTTTTTGAACCCCCGAAATGGACTGATGTTTTTGAAGGGGAGGAGGAAACGTCCCAGCGAAAAAAACCTCCGTTTAGTTCGAGGATTTCCCAGCTAGCCAGCTTGATTGCCTCTATCTACATGTGATTTTTGCATGATCTCCCATTATAAGCAATGTATAATATATAGCAATTCATTTACCACTACTAATCGCAGTAGAAATCCTATAAACATCCCATTATTAACCATCAAATCACCATTAAATCACAAATCACCATCAAATCACCCTTCAATCACCACTAAATCCCAGTAAATCACCATTAAATCGCCATTAAATCATCATTTAGTCCCATTAAATCATCATCAAATCCCATCAATTTTCAGCAGACGGTCCACTTTCTTCCGTTTTTCAGGTGCCGACGGTGCCGACGAATCCGGTGACCTCGAAGCTTTTTTTTCGGAAATGGGAAGTCCTCGAGAGAAGTTATTGAATAATAATAATATGACTATCCATATGGTTTTCCTATGGTTTCCCTATGGTTTTCCTAGTGATATATATATATAATATGATATAATTATATATCTATATCTATGTCTATATCTATGGGATCAAAACTTCCGCCTCATGGTTTCCCTATGGTTTTCCTAGTGGTTAATAGTGATAATCAATGATTATCAGCTGTGATTAATGGAGATTTACCATCACTAATAAGTTTGCTGGAAATCACACATGGTTTGCTGGAAAATCCTCTGAGTTTGATGATGTTCCTAGCTATAAACCATGGATGGATTCATAGTGGGTCAATAGTGTGATGATAATAGGATGATACCCTCTGGTAAACTAACATAGCTATGGAAAATCACCATTTTAAATAGCTATGTTTGGGTAATTTATAACGACCGAACCCTGTTCTCCCGAACCCTGGAATCATGGTTTTTATAGGGAAATCATCCCCAAATGGCCTAACTATTCAGGTTAGTGAAATATTATAATTTACCCATACATATAGTAATGGGATAGTAATGGGATATTCATGAGATATTCATGGGATACAGTAATAGAACCCCCCATCTACTAATCATCCCAGCATTACTAATGGATTAATAGATGATCATTAGTAATGCACTAATGGATGAATGGATTACCAATCATCATCTAAACTAATGTGGCTAAAACAATATAGCAAACCAATTGAGGTTAACCAATAGACAACCAATGGATAATGGTGAATAGTGCTGGGTGATTAATGGATGATTAATGGTGAATAAAGGTGACTAATTAATGTGGGTAAACCAATGCCATAAACCACCCATTTGGGAATGGTCTATACCACCTATAGAAATGGTGTTTTGGGGGATGGTTTATTATTGTTTTAACCACATTAGTCTTCCATAGTCTTCCCATCCCTACAACTGGCAGTGTCTATGCTAGTTCGAAGGGCAGTCCAGTGTTTAAAATGAAAAGAGCACATTCAATCCCATGTTCAAGTCCAACAAAAATATGAGTAACATGTGGTATTTCAAGTCCCATGTTCAATCTCATTTTATGTTCTATTTGTGGTAAACCATACTTCATTTCAAGTCCAACAAAAACCAATGAGTCATGAGTCCATGTTTTCTTTCTGCATAAATAATGCAATCCCAGTGATGTTAGTTTGCTGTGACTGGCACTTCTATGGTGACCGTCAGAAATTCCAACATGTAGTTTTTGTATGTTTTCTTGTCCCCATCTGCCAGGTGAGGGTCTCTAGATTTTAACAAGACTTCGCAAAAAAACAGCGAGCCAACCAACCAACCCACCCACCAACCCAGCCACCACCCACACACCGCAACATGATTGTTTGCCATTCCAGCCCCCTCTACATAGCCACTCTATAGCGAGCTTGCGAGCTCTCCGGGGCGCGCCGGACCCGAACCCTACCACGAACCTTACCAGAAAGAATGCCAGATAGAATGTCAGAAAATATGTCAGATCAAGTGTCAGATAGAAGGCCAGCTAGAATGCCAGAATACATGGCAGATAGAATGCCAAATACCAGATAGAATGCCAGATGCAATGTCAGAAAATATGTCAGATAGAATGTGAGGTAAAACGCCAGGTAAAATGTTAGACGAAATGCCAGGTAGAATGCCAGATCGAATGTCAGAAAATATGTAAGGTAAAATGCCACACTGCCAGACTTTATGTCAGATAGGAATGCCAGATAGAATGCCAGAATATGTCAGATAGAACGTCAGACTGAATGCTAGGTAAAATGTCAGATAGAATGTCAGATAGTATGTCAGAATATAGACTATTATAGAATGTCAGATAGTATGTTAGAATATATGTCAGATAAGATGTCAGATCGACTGTAAACATATATATATATATTTAATATATATATATATATATATATAATATGTATATATATATAATATATATATATATAATAAAACTATATATACATATTATGAGAAAGGGGTGATCACGCAAATTAAAGTGTGTGTTTTTCCCGAGAGCGTCTGAGCGCAGGGTTCTTCTAATAGTGGGGGTCTGTGAGACATCCTCTCATCTTCACATCTTCTCATCTTCACATCTTCTCATCTTCACATATCTTTCCATCTTCTCATCTTCACATCCTCACATCTTCACATCTGTGCATCTTCACATCTTCTCATCTTCACATCTTCACATTCTCTCTTGCTCTCTTGCTCTCTTGCCCTCTTGCTCCCTCCTTCTTTTCTATTTCTCTCTTGAAGGCGCGGGGCAGTGCCAACGAGACGCCACGAAATGCAACCCTTTCGCACGAAATGAGGTTCGATCGCCGAAAACTGAAGTAAAATTGCGATTTGCAAAGCGTCCGGCGCAACCCTTTCGCACGAAATGAGGTTCGATCGCCAAAAACTGAAATAAAATTGCAATTTGTAAGTGTCCGGCGCAACCCTTTCGCACGAAATGAGGTTCGATCGCCAAAAACTGAAATAAAATTGCGATTTGCAAAGCGTCCGGCGCAACCCTTTCGCACGAAATGAGGTTCGATCGCCAAAAACTGTAGTAATATTGCGATTTGTAAGTATCCGGGCGCAACCCTTTCGCACGAAATGAAGTTCGATCGCCAAAAAATTGAGTTAAAATTGCGATGTCATGGGTTCGGTCTCTGTGTGTGAAAGTGTTTGCGCGTAAAAGCTTCTGTGTGCGAAAGCTTCTAGCTGTAAAAGCTTCTGTGTGTGAAAGCTTCTGTGTGTAAAAGCCTCTATGTCTCAAAGTGTGTGTGTGTGTAAAAGTGTCTGTGTGTTAAAGCGTCTGTGTGTAAAAGTGTCTTTGTGTAAAAGTGTCTGTGTGTAAAAGCATCTGTGTGCAAAAGCGTCTGTGTGTAAAAGCGTCTGTGTGTAAAAGCTTCTGTGTAAAAGCGTCTGTGTGTAAAAGCCTCTGTGTGTGAAAGTGTGTGTGTGTGTAAAAGTGTCTTTGTGTAAAAGTGTCTGTGTGTAAAAGCGTCTGTGTGTAAAAGCGTCTGTGTGTAAAAGTCTCTGTGTGTAAAAGTCTCTGTGTGTGAAAGTGTTTGTGTGTAAACGCCTCTGTGTGTAAAAGCGTCTGTGTGTAAAAGCGTCTGTGTGTAAAAGTCTCTGTGTGTAAAAGTGTTTGTGTGTCAAAGTGTCTGTGTGTAAAAGTGTCTGTGTGTAAACGCGTCTGTGTGTAATAGCCTGTGTGTGTAAATGCTTCTGTGTGTAAAAGCCTAGCTGTGTGTGTGTGTAAAAGTCTCTATGTGTAACAGGGTCTGCGTGTAAAAGCTTCTGTGTGTAAAATTCTGTGTATGTAAAAACTTCTGTGTGTAAAAGCCTCTGTGTGTGTGCAAGCTTCTGTGTGTAAAAGCCTCTTTGTGTCAAACGTCTGTGTGTAAAAGTGTCTGTGTGTAAAAGCGTCTGTGTGTAAAAGTGTCTGTGTGTAAAAGCGTTTGTGTGTAAAAATGTCTGTGTGCAAAAGCGTCTGTTTGTAAAAAGTCTCTGTGTGTGAAAAACTATACGAAATTTACGATGCAAACTTTGGTCTTGTGTTCGTGATATATTGTCTTGATACTATTCTTCTCGTCTGCCTATAATACATCTTTAATATATTGTCTTGTAATATAGTGTCTCCATACTAACAACAGAAGACTCTGCTCCTCTACGCTCTCGGGCCATCTGTCGTCTAGTTTTCACGTACAGTTTTGCCACACAATTGGGGACTTTAACACCAAGAATTGGCGTGAAACCAATACCAACTGATAACTGGGTCGTCCGGTAGAAAACAACAACATACTTGAAATTGTGGTGACAGATTAGTTGGGAGTGCCAGGGACCTTCCCATTTTTGCTGATGTTAGTGGAGGAAATCGCATGGGACCTCTGGTCCTGGAGGCCCGCAATGATGACAGAACATGACAGAACCCCGTTCATGACCCATTAGCTTTCCATATATTTGTTTGCCATGTCTAGTGACGCGCGAAAAGATCCGAACAAAAAAATTAACACTTTTTCATATTTTTTCAGTAACATGTTTTTTCACTTCGGATTGCTCCACACGAATTTCGCCACATAATCCATCGCCACTGGTAATTTTGGTTTCCCCAGTGCCACTCGACCGGCTCCAAGGACAGCCGAAGGAGGGCTAGGCGTTGGTGCCAGTCCTGGTGTGGGTCATCCTGAGCCTTTGGAGGGCTCGGCCACCGAAGGCACGGCGCCTGCGCCGGTGGCAACAGTTGCGCCGGTGGCAACCGTGGCACCGGTGGCGACCGTGGCACCAGTGGCAACCGTGGCACCGGTGGCAACCATGGCACCGACAGGGGATGGAAGTTCCACCTCTGGCGGAACTGAGACCAAAGGCCAAAGTGGGTTGCGAGGAAGTGGATCAAGTGGGTCAGGTACTTCGGATGGTGGCAACGGAGAATCAGCAGGAGTAGGTGCTGGTTCCGATGCTGGCGGCAATGGAGGATCAGCAGGAGCAGGCGCTGATACCGATGCAGGAGCAGGCGCCGGTTCAGATGGTGATGGCAATGTAGGATCAGCAGGAGGCGCTGGTTCCGACGCTGGCGGCAAGGGAGGATCGGCAGGAGCAGGTGCTGATACCGATGCAGGAGCAGGCGCTGGTTCAGATGGTGATGGCAATGTAGGATCAGCAGGAGGCGCTGATTCCGACGCTGGCGGCAAGGGAGGATCGGCAGGAGCAGCCACTGGTTCCGATGCAGGAGCAGGTAGTGGTTCTGATGCTGACGACAATGGAGAATCAGCAGGAGCAGGCGCTGGTTCGGATGCCGGTTCAACTGTCCCGGCAGTTCCCCTTGCGACTGTGCCATGGCAGCAATTCAAACGGAGTGAAATTGTTTATTCAGGAATCATTGTGGGCATGGCTCAAAACTAACTAGACTATACCCCTTTTGGGGAGTGAAATACTGATAATTATTTATGGGTTTATTAATGCTCCATTTTTGAGCCATAGTCGTAAATCCCATAATTAGCCGGAAGCTTTGCACAATCGTCAGAGTGCATCACAGGAAGAGAGGATGATGTTTGTCGGCTATGCTATGCCATGGGTTTTGGGGGATATCATCTACCACTTGGGAGAGTCTTGCGGTACCCTCTTGAGAGCAAAACTCGCCATGGACAATCCAATGTCAATGGTTGTAGATGGTTTGCTTATCCGTCAAATTTCCGAGCAAATTTCCGATTGAAGGGTTTAATTGCTGAAGGGGCAAACGGTGTCAGTGATACGAATGGGAACTATCATGAACTATCCATTCGTCGATGTTTGGTGTACGTTCGCTTCATTCGCGTAATTCTTGGGGTAAATGACCAAACCATAGGCCCATATATTTGTGGAGTTGGATCAGTCTTGGAGACTTTTGTAGTGGATATATATGTGGATATTCTCTGATCCAACGTGGGGGATATCCGGAGTTCTCTGCAAATCGGGACATGATTTGCAAGTGCACAGTTTGTCCACGAATCATTGCCGGGGTGTGCAATCACTTAAATCCCACGTGTTGCTGGTTCAATCATAACCCCAAGAAGTACTGATGACAAACGAGCAACATTTCAGTGCAGGTCCATCCACATCATCCACATGTTTTTTGGGTTGGTTGAACGGATGGTTTTCTGAAAGTAAACCATTAACCATTAATAGATTAACCATCCACATTAAGCATTAACCATTAACCATCCATTAACCACAATAGATTAACCATTAATAGATTAACCATTATTAACCATTAACCATCCACATGATTTTTCTGATTAACCATTCATTTAACCATTTTGTTTCCATCTGATAGATTGAAACCTGAATTTTCCCAACATGGTCCACCAGCAAGTCTCACAAGTCAATTCATCAAGTGCATTGATGGCAAATTCTCATTTCACCACCAAGTCATTGTGTTGGCTATATATTATATATATCCACATTATACACATATATATATACACATATATAAATACATATATATATACATATATATATATATATACAGATATATATATATATATATACAGATATATATATATATACAGATATATATATATACATATATATACATAATGTATCTATCTACCTATCTATCTATCTATCTACCTATCTATCTATCTATCTATCTATCTCCCTCTCTCTCTATCTATCTATCTATCTATCTATTTATCTATCTGTCTATCTCTCTATCTCTCTATCTCTCTATCTCTCTATCTATCTACCTATCTACCTATCTACCTATCTACCTATCTACCTATCTACCTATCTACCTATCTACCTATCTACCTATCTATCTATCTATCTATCTATCCATCCTTCTATCTATCTATCTATCCATCTATCTATCTATCTATCTATCTCTCTCTCTCTCTCTAGCTAGCTAGCTAGCTAGCTAGCTAGCTAGCTAGCTATCTATCTATCTATCTATCTATCTATCTCTCTCTCCCTGTCTATCTATCTATCTATCTATCAATCTGTCTATCTATCTATCTCTCTCTATCTATCTATGTATCTATCTATCTGTCTATCTTTCTATCTATCTATATATCTCTCTCTCTCTATCTATTATATATGTCACCATGTTTTTTTTCTAAAAAGGTCGGTTCAATCCCAGTGTTGCTGGTGAAATTTTTCCTGATCCCCCTTCTCAGGTGCCTCCAGAGAAGGACGCAGCGAGCCTTGGTTGTAAATGGGAACACCAATGATTTGGGGTAGCCATATTTTGGGAAACCCTCATTATATGTTGATAGATTTTTGACTTGTTTAATATTGTATTATTTATAATATATATATATATGTCCATTTACTTGGGTTCAAGATGATTCGACTAGAGGATCAGAGGAAAGTTGGTTTATAACTAGCCCAACTATGGTTTATGGTAGATATCTACAGTAGGATGTTTCATAAACCAACCTACGACTGGGGATAGTATAGTTCTAAGGCAGCAATCACCATTCTGCACAAGGTATCGCATACCACAATTTTATCGTTCTCCACTCTTGCGAACTGGCTGTACTGGATGATGTGCATGTGAAATATGTTCCCACTGGTTAAGTTGGCCCAAACTAAAGATCGACGCTCATCAACACTCATCATGGCGCTTTCCAAGATCCTGAAGGATCGTAAAGTGGTGCCGCAGCCAGCGGTGTCATTGGGTGATCCATGTCTTGGGACAGATGAAGGTCTTTCCTGACCAACTATTGATTAATGAACCACTCAACTATTGGGAGTAAATGAGACAAAATGTGTGGGTCTTGACTGACAGAGACTGACAGTGGGCGACAAACAATCCAAACGCAGCTGGGGGGTCAGTTTTGTCTAAAGATCCAAGACACTGAAGGAGTAAATTTATGATCCATAACCTACATGGGTTGGGGAATTTTGTGATTGCTGACAGTCGTGATCCTTAGCATACCAGGGGTGGATTTGTTAGCATACCAGGGGTGGATTCGTGATCCGTAGCATACCAGGGGTGGATTCGTGCTCCCGAGCATACCAGGGGTGGAATCGTTCTCCGTAGCATAGCATCGTTCTCCTCAGCATACAACCGGTCTCCATAGAATACTCTTGGTTTTCATTTTTTGTTTTTTTCCAATTTCATCGAAAAATGTCTGGATCACCGAAATCCTGGAGAATGTTGCGGCCAAAAAAAAAACTTGATTTTCCTTGGGTTTTTGAATGTTTTTTTTTTGATTCCCATTCTCCAGGTTTTTCGTGATCCAGACTTTTTTCGATGATTTTGTCCCAGGCTGATTTTTTTTCCAAAACCAACAGTTTCACCACAGAACAAGAGATTCGTGATCCGTGGCATACCAGGGGTGGATTCGTGATCCTTAGCATACCAGGGGTGGATTCGTTCTCCGTAGCATACCAGGGGTGGATTCGTGATCCACGACATATGAGGGGGCAATCTCTGATCCACAACATTTGGGAGCTGGTACCATTTTATGAACATACTTGTGGTTCCCCCAAAATAAAACATTAGCGAGGTCCTGATACATCAGCAAATTGGGGATGGATTTTTGGGATGGATTGCTTACTGATCAATAAGAGCATTTGCAAATGGTTGTTTACTGAAATGAGGGAGCAATGTTTGATTGAATACATACTATTTGTGAATCTGGACAGGCTCTTGTTTTCCAACACAAGCCGAAAATTGTTAGAATTTTGTTCAAAGCGGAAAATTACCACCCCAAATATCATTGGATTGTTACCACGGCTCTGCGCTGTGACGGAGGCAAAATGAGACAAAACAAGTTTGGGCACTAGGTGAACGCTGAGCAGTGTCACTATGGATCTTTTCCACCAAACTCTAGGATCCGATGCATTTGTACATTCAATTCTCACCAAATGGAAATCCATCAAAAAAAGGATGGATCTGGATTAGCTATGGGGGATGGCGCGTCTTGGTTTAGAATAGTGTGATACCATCCCAGACATCTGACACAGACTTGGAATAACCCGAATTTGGTGCTTGAAACGCTAGCTTGTAGAAGTTGGAACATTTTGCCTTTATTGGGACACCAGAAATTTGTGAAATTTATGTAGACATTGATGGCAGAGGCTCTGACAAATTTGAGACCCCAACTTTGATCTTTGGGTCTCAGTTCGGGGTGGTCACGCTGGTCCCATCTCCAAGCGTTTTTTGTATTGGAGATTTGGAGCCGTTTTTTCCCATGTTTTTCCGATGTTGTTGCATAGTGCTTTTAAAACATGTGCGTTTGCAGATGTTTTCTGTGTTTTTTTCTTGTTTCTCTCGTTCTTCTTGTTCTTGTTGTTTTTTTTTCTTGTTGTTGTGGTGGTCGTTGTCAATTGCAAGGCAGAAAAAAAATCACGGTGCAAAATGATTGGGGTTTTACAGCTCCATGGCTCCACAACTCCACAAGCAATTCATCTTGGCTTGTTAAGATCCCCATCATTTCTTCATGGTTCATCTTGGTTTATCATGTTTTATATGGGTTAATATTATAGTTTATAGATGTATAAATCATCTGGTTGGTGGTTTCAAACATTTGGATTATTTTCCATAATATATGGGATGTCATCCTTCCCATTGACGAACTCATATTTTTCAGAGGGGTTAAAACCACCAACAAGTTATATTTTTCATGAGATTTCCCCATGCTTCCCGTCGTGAGATCTCGCCAAGGACACCTCCGGACAACCTCCATGTGCAGTTTCCCAAGGTCACCGTGCCTCTGAAGGTGCAATTCGTCCCTGGGTTCGGTTAACGGACGCGGTTTGGCGTGGATCTTTTGTGATGTTTGGATGGTGTTATCACTATGAGTTCATGGGGTTTCATGGTGGTTGAATTGGATTTCATGGTGGTTTAATGGGGTTTAATGGTGGTTTAATGGGATTTAATGGGGGTTCATGGTGATTTAGTGGTGGTTTAATGGTGGTTTAATGGAATTTCATGGGGTTTCATGGTGATTTAGTGGTGGTTTCATGGTGGTTTAATGGGATTTACCCAAGAAAATGGGGATTTAATATGATTTAATGAGATTTACTTGGTGGTTTAACGATATGCGAGCTGGAAAATCACCGTTTTTGATAGGTAAACAACTAGGTAAATCAACATGTTTATCATCTATGAATGGTTCATCTATTCCATAGCTATGTTCAATAACCAGAGGGTATTCAATCAGTCACCATTAGCCATCCCTGCTTGAGTTTTTCGGTGTCCTGTTCAAGAATCAGCAGAAACGGTTGTTCAACCAATCCAAATGGGAATGTCACCCATCAGAAATGGGCTCAAACCATCTTCAACCCTATGATTTCACAAGATACAAATGGATGTTACCAGCCCACCCAAGAAGAACTTCCCCATTTTTTTTGCCCCGGTTGTGGAAGGTGGATCCCTGGCGGTCACAATTTCGCATCGTGAAACCAGGAAATCGATGGACATTTGCTTCAAAACTGTGAGGTTTTCCCATGGTTTCCCATGGTTTTCCCATGGTTTTCCCATGGTTTCACCGAGGAGCATGTGCTTCCGAAGACCCTGGCCATCAGCAACTTTCACAGGAAGGTCTCCCAGAGAGGCGGCAAAATCCATTTCGAGGCCGGAAGCAAATGGCCACTTGTTATTTGATTTTCAGGGGATGTGTCAAGTTACCTATGAATTTGCTATTGAACATGACCCATTTCTAGTGGATTTACCCATGAAAAATGGTGATTTTCCATATAGTTATGTTTGTTTACCAGAGGGTACCTATGAATTTACCTGGGGGAATTTTGACATCCAGAGATCCCAGCTCTGACTTGGGGTACTGTCGAAAAATCGTTTCGTTTTTGACCCCCCATTGCTGAGAACTTGGCCGTTTCGCACAGGCCAGCCTTCAGTCCGGGGAACCCTTACCAAGTTGGCTGAGCTTCAAACACGAATTTGCCGCTGGGCAACCATTGCCAACCCCTGTTTCTGGTTCTATGTTAATATATATATAATATATATATAATATATATAATATATATATAATATATATATATATAATATATAATATATATAATATATATAATATGTATACATTATATGATATGTGTACATTGATCAAATTATGTGTATAAATATATGTGCATAATTATATGTATATAATATAATATAATATGTATATGTATATATATATATATAAATAAGTATATAATGTAATATAATATGTGTATATAATTGTATACATATATATATATATATATGCATGCATATGAAAAATATGGTTAATACATGTATATAATATACGATTACACAAAAGTAATATATTTTAATATATATAAGATGATTTCTTTTCTTTTCTCTCTCTCTCTCTCTTTCTATGAAATACACATAATATGAACGTATATCCATATAGTCTATATCCCTTTTTCTTGGCATCGTATCGGTACAGACCCAGAAATTCATGGTGAAGGGCGAGCTCGGCCGCCGGTGATATCAGCCTTGGGTGCCGGAATCTTTGCCCAAAGATTCGGATCAGTTGAATTTCGCAAAAGTCGAAAATACATGGCACATACTTATTAAAGAGATTTGGCTTAAATACATAAAAGATTTTGCATGTCATTTGGCAATTTTTCCATGAAATAACCATGACATTTGGCATTTCCGCATCTCCGCGGTTCGCGGAGTTTCAGCACCAGCCATTCCTAGACGGATAGTCGCATGGGATAGTCCATGGGGATGCCCAAAGCCCAGAGATGCCGTGGTTTCAATGGGGAAAATGATGGGAACACCACCTACAAATTGATGCTTTTTTCATGGGAAATCCATGGAAATCCCCTATAAAATGAAGGTTACCCTCTGGTAATTTAACGTAGCTGTTGAAAATGACCATTAATAGTGGATTTTCCCATTAAAAATGGTGATTTTCAATAGCTATGTTAAATTACCAGAGGGTAAAACTTTGAAAACCCATGGGCATTGAGGTTCTAAACCAATGGAATGGGCTACTCCATTTTTGCGACACCATTTCAGTAGGCCTCATGTCCAGTGATCTTTTTCTTAGTCTCCCAGGAGTTGGTTATGCTGACCCAACTAGGATTCACCTTGGGTTGCCCACGTTGGTTCGATATATATATATATTGTATATATATATATATTGTATATATATATATATAATATGTATATTATATATACACGCATATTATATATAAATACATATTATTTATATATACACATATTATATATATACATACTATATATAATATGTAATATTATATATATGTATATATATATAGTATGTATATATAATATGTATATATAAAATATGTATATATAAAAAAGGATATATAATATGTATATATAATATGTATATATAATATGTATATATATATATATAATATGTATATATATAATATGTATATATATAATATGTATATATAATATGTATATTTAATATGTATATATTATATGTATATATGTATATATAATATGTATATATGTATATATAATATGTATATATGTATATATAATATGCATGTATGTATGTATATATATGGGGTGGTTATTCACATCCATAGATCCAGCTATTTTGGATTGAACAGAAAGGGCGAGCTGACACATCGTCAGAAACACCGTGAACATTTGAAGGGATGGAAGGAAAAGCCATCATGCAGCAAACGTGTACCCTCAGGTATCATTGAACACATTCTCCGGCGTACCCCCATTCAACCAAGCTTAATATACATCAACCGAACAGAGATGTGGAAAACACCGTCCTTTGTAGATCAATCTCCCAAAGGGAAACCATATGTTACCATGAGTTTTCCACAGCCATTCTAGTGAACTCCCCAGGTAACATACAACCGCACCCGGTGTTCACCGGTTGCTTCCTAGGATAAGGAGACCAACAAGAACGAACTGAGCTTCGTTGGGGTTCCGCCCAAGGCGTTGCTTGGTGAAGGGTGGGGATATAATGAACATATCTATGTTTGATACTCTTTAATGTATGAGTACATACAAAAATATGCACACACATACGTACATATATCTATAGATACACATACATAATTATATATATACTGTACATACATACACTGGGAACGAAAAGGCGAATCTTTAACTTGTGTTTATTCGTTCCTATGGCCAAAGAATCCAAATTGGATATCATTAACTCAACTAATTTTTGTGTCTGAAAATAGGGGTACCACCATATTTGATTTTCAATCATCATTTTTACCATTTAACTTTCCCTTTTTGGTATATTCATGTATATTCCGTTTTCAGTCAATCCCACTATAACTACAAAATGGCTGTTGCCTGAACTTTCTTGCATCGGTCACTGGGTCACTCCATGTCACTCCATAACTCGCTTGTTATGATCCTTGAGGCAAGCGACCGTAGTGTCTGGCAAGCCATCAGCTCTATGGCTAGCTCTGGACAATATTCCATTTACCCTCTGGTTATGACTACTCGTAACAGTTTGCCATGATATAGATGGCCCATAGAAATAGATGGTTTACGGAACTTAAAGATGGTGGATCTTTTCATGGCAAACTGTTAGTCATAACCAGATGGTAGTTCCATGATTTTCGGAAAACCCCCACCAACTCACTGACGTCTCAACTGCTTCACCACTGTGGATTTGGGCCTGGACAAGCCGGATCCTATCTGGAAAAAACAAAGATGTCATTTGAACAAACATTGGAAATTCATTAACAATTGTGATATCCAAGTGCCATCTGGAACATGTTTAAACTCGTTTCAGGTGGAAACTCTCCCGCTGAGAGTTGATGGCACAACACCCGTGGGGCAGACCGTGTCAATCGTTTTCCCATTCGATGCTTGGATCAAGGGAACTGGGGATGGCTCCGAACTTGTGACCTAAGGATATGATATATATATATAATTATATATATACAGTATATAATATACAGTATATACATATACATATATATATATACACATACATACATATATCTACATGATCTCAGCAGAAATTTAAGGGATGTTATTTTTTGGGCTTCAAACGGAATTCAGATTGGGAAGTCACACTCTCAACATCTCCCAAATGAGGTTGTAATATCCTTTAACTCCCATTGACAACCAAGACATAGGCCCTGGGTCCCACTATGCAAAACATCAATGCCAGTCGGCAAACCCCCAGGAACACGAGCTACATTCCCACGTGTCTCTTGTACTCTCTCTTCGGGTTCCAACATGTTCCACGAACTGTAACGAACACCCAACTTTGGTCATGAGTCATTCTTGCGCGCTTAAACCACATGTTCGAAGTATCTAATGATTTGAACAGATATAATCCATATTTAACATCTCATCAATCCTGATCACCCCTTCCATCCAGTTCAAGTTGGGTTTTTGTCACCATGGATTCCATGGATCCCCCAAAACTGGATGAGGAAACTATATGTGGAGAAGCACCTTCTCGATCCTTCTCGCGTTAATTCCAATTTTCTTCCGTTTTCGCCAGTGACAGTTATCCAGATATGCTGACTTGATTCATTGTTTGGCATTGTTTGGCTATGTCCATGTGTCCTAGTTGGTTCTGAACTACCTAGTGACCTAGTGGAGTTTTCCAATAACGAAAGCGTATCATGATAGATCCGTTGATTCAGTTTTTTTTCGCCCGAAGGGTCCTGGTGAGACATGGTGGGACCATTCCCTTTCTTAACTTCCCAGCACTTCCGATACCAGGTTTCTTTGGATCTCAGGTTTCTGTGATGTTCAGTGTGATGGGATGATGAAAACCAGCTGTTTTCTGTGGCTCTTTCGATTTCCAGCTGTTTTCGCCCAAGGAAGTTGTTGCGAATCCGCCCTATGTGAACAAGGTCCTCAAAGTCCTTTGGCTGGCGATCTGATCATGCAACGAATCCCCGACAACGCATCCTCATAGATGAAAGATGATGAAAGCATTTGGCTTTGGGAAGTCATGGCCAAATGATCGAACTTTGGTGGGCAAATAACATTAAGAATAACTTATAATTCAGCCAGATACACCAGATAGGGAGAAAATACATCCAGGATATGGACCAGGGGCCGGATGGTGATCCGGCAAACCATTTCAAGTGGCCAAAAGCGGCCAAGTACTTGTTCGGCTTGGACCATATTTTGGGATGTCAAGTGATGGCGATGTCTTACCGCTATCATTTGTGAGTCGAGCACGTGATTTTGATTTCTTTTTGAATGGTCAATTCAGCTGGCATGTGGTCAGTAAATATCACTAACCCCGGGCAGCAAATTCCACATTCCTCATTTGCCACACTTATAACTGTTAAATCATTGGTTATTGAATAGTTGCTATCCATTCCTGTGGCCCCATTATGACAATTTTCAATAGATTAAACACTTTCTGTAGGTGGAAGTCAAGAAAGCCAGACACTTAGATCTTGAACCTGTTTGGGATTTTCTAGGATTAGATTGGTAGATTGGTTTAGTATCAGACGAGTAGGCTGTGAAATCTAAACTAACTTAGCAGGAGATCCACCATCCACCAAGATGTCTTTGTTTATGGTAAGGTCCCCTCGAGGGCGTCGCGGAGTGTTGTCGTTTTTTCATGTTTGCGTTATTTTCGAAGCATCCATTTCATGCCACGTTTTACAGTGTTTTCTTCTGCTTCGTTGCATTTTCTGCTGTTTTTTACTGTGTTTTTTGTGACGTGCTTCCTGTGATAGTTGCGTGTCGGCATGCCAGGGTTTGCTTGGAGTGGGGGTGGGGTGGGGGTGGGGTGGGGGGGGTTGGGGGGGTGTTGGGGGGGGGGATGATAACGTTCTTGTTTATTAACGTTCTTGCATCTGCGTTCTTGACACGCTTTTCACTTCTGCAAGTGACGGTTTGACACGCGTTGGATGTTTTGGTTTTGATATGTTGACGTTGGTGTCCGGTGGCGTGTGGGCATGGGGTTGGGTTTGGGGGGATTACAACGTTCACGTTAACCAGCGTACTTGCAACTACTTCCTTACACGCATTTCTTATTTGCAATTCATATCATCATCATCTCCAACATCATCATCATCATCATTATCAACATAATCATCATCATTAACATCATCATCAACATGATCATCATCGTCAACATCATCATTATCATCATCATGATCAACATGCCCATCATCATTATCAACATCATCATTCTCATCATCATGATCAACATGATCATCATCATTATCAACATCATCATCATCATCATCATCATCATCATCAACAACATGATTATCAACATGATCATCAACATGATCATCATCATTATCATCATCATCAATCGCTTCGGTGAGGTAAAAAAAAGTTACTTCGGAGACCCCTCTTGGAAGATGCATTTTAAAAAACTTCACGACATGCAGGTTTTAAAGGCGTAGTGCGTTGAAAAACGCGCGACGCCCTCGAGGGGACCTTCCCTTGTTTATCCACTTTGTTTATCCACTAACATGGGTATGGAACATCACATTTTTTCAGTTCGGTAAATCAACCATAAATCAGCATGTTCAATAGCTATATCTGTAATTTTACCAGAGGGTATGGTATATATATAACCCATATAATTACTTATCTGGTTGGTGGTTTCAAACATTTTTTCCATGTCATATATGGGATGTCATCTTTCCCATTGACGAACTCATATCTTTCAAGATAGTTAAACCACCAACCAGATAGCAATGGGATAGTAATGGGATAGTAATGGGATAGTAATGGGATAGTAATGGGATATATATATATATATATATCTGTTGGGAACATCTGTTGGGTGTCCAGTGGTGCTGTGAAGGTGTTTGGAACGGATTATTATTCATTTATCAACCAGATTATATATATATATAGATTATATTAACCATATATTATCCATATATTAACCATATATTATCCATATATTAACCATATATTATCCATATATTATCCATATATTAACCATATATCATACTAACCAATATATTTATTTCTCTATCTTAGTTGCCCAGAGAGTATCCACCAAGGATTGCCCCAATCTTTGGTCCCTCAGGATGTTTCAGGCACCGCCGACGAGGAGGTCCTTGAGACAATTCCTAAGGACCGAAGTAGAGACGGGCCGGTCGAGGTCGTTGGGTTCGGGGGGCTCAATCACCTATGAATATGGGACTTCATGCGATTTCATGGGGTTTCATGGGGTTTATTAGGATTTCATGGGGTTTCATGGGGTATTTCATAGGATTTCATTTGATGGGATTCTGTAGACACCTGATGTATCAACGAGGACTTCACGGCTTCACGGGATCTACCACTGCACTGGGGTAAACATTTCTTGAGTACATTTCTTGTTGGTTGGTGGTTTGGAACATGAATTCTATTTTGCATATATTGGGAATGTCATCATCCCAACTGACTGTCATATGTTTCAGAGGGGTAGGTCAACCACCAACCAGCCATTGTATCATCATTAAATCCAATTAAATCCCTAATTTTGATGGTTAAATACCAATTAAATCACCATGATAGCCATATTAGGCACTCCCAGTTCTTTTGTTCATGGGGACATCGACATGGGAGGATGCCATCGTTGACCCCGACGGCGGAGAGATCAGCTACAGCGCCAAGTTGCTGAATGGCACCTTGGTGATTTCCATGGTGATTTCGTGGTGGCATCATCCGAGATTTTTGCTTTGGGAATTCTTTCTTTACTGTTCCAAACATGTTCAATGGTGTTTAATGGTGTTTAATGGTGTTTAATGGTGTTTAATGGTGTTTAATGGTGTTGCCAACTGCGAAACGCCACTGCACTTGCAGAAACAATCAGAAACATACAGACGCAATCCACGAAGATGTCAGGCATGGTTCTCAACATTGCAACTTTAACAGTAACCAAACCGCAAGAATGTGTACACTACCCCCAACTTTTAGGGCTGACACAGTTCTGAGAATCGCACCCTGAACTCACCCTGAACTCACGCTATCCAACTTGTCGGGAGCAGTGGCTTGGATAATCCATTAATATAAACCATATAGAATTTATATAATTGGGTGCACTGATATATAAATATATCTTGGGTGCAATATGGACTATAAATCTATATGGTTTATATTAATGCATTATATATGGACTATCCATATATAACTTGGGGATAGTCCATATATAATTGGGTTCACTGGCTCTACCACCAGGTTGTTGCGAAATGGACCCCAACATGACTAGCTGGAGATTTTCACTCGGGTAACGATCCAGTGATTTCCCACTGAGACCCTCTGGTAAACGTTTACATAGCTGAAAATGACCCAGTCGAAATAGTGGATTTACCCATGAAAAATGGTGGATCTTTCCATAGTTATGTTAGTTTACCAGAAGGTGTATATATATATATGGACTATTCCCCAGTTATATCATGGGATTATATATTGGTCATATATGGATTATATATATATCTATGGGATTATATATGCGGATGATCCATGATCCAAACCACTGATTTCCGAGGCAGCGATTTGCCTTCGTGGCTCCACTTTGACGACAAGAAGTTGCAGGTTCGAGGCACTCCGCCCACCCAACAGGAGACCAGCTCGCGCACGCTGGAAGCCACGGGGGGGTGGGTTCCCCAAGGCAAAAGTGACCCCCCCGTTGTTGTGTTTATGGAATGTATGTTATATAATGCACCATTGCTATACATAGTGTTAAATATACATATCTATTTATACATATATGTGTATATATATATATATGTGTATATGTATAGTTTATATACCAGGAGTATAGCCATGGGCATAACCACAAACTGTGGGAACTTCAGCAACAAACACGGGGAATTTACCAAAACCAGCGGGTTACCCTCATCTGGCAGCAGAGTTTATATTTCATGGTCCCAAAGATGTGTAGATTCATAAATCCATATATATATATAAATCCCCTACTGAAGCATGGTCCATACAGTATGGTTTCTGATTTATAAGTGATCCACAGTTTGATCATTGCTACATTCTATAGGTTGACATGTTACAAGCACAACCATTCAGCTGGTTCCCCAACTTTCCCAGTGGATGATGGTAGTTAAAACATGCAAAAAACCATGCTGTTTCCTGGCTTTCCCTTAGCCTCTGGTAAATGAACAGTTGGACCCTGATTTTATCACCCATTTATAGTGGAAAATCATCCATCTATAGTGGTTTTACTAGTCTTCCAACCCCGATGACTGGCAGGGTCGGGTTTTATTAGGACCTGACGTTGACAGTGAAGGGACTCTTGGCGGCACGGGACGAGAATGGTGATTTCCTCGACAGATTGACCATGAAACAGGGCAGATGATATATGATGAGCTGGTGACGATATATCAATGGCCATGACTCAGGAACCGATTGATGAAGGAGGTACCGATTCCATATATTTTTGGCCTATTTTTCAGGGAATATCCCAGCAAAATATGGCCTTATATGGTACTAACGTACCTCCATTTTAGGATCCTGGAATTCCCATTGAATATAATGATGCTTGGATGTAGCCAAGCAAAACCCCAAGTAACCCAAGTGTACATCCCACTTACCAGTGGTTGCTGCTCGGATTGGGATACTCATGAGATGATTTTTTGATATCCCAATGAGGGAATTGTTCCTTTGTATGATAAGAATTGATAAGCCCTATTTTTCGGCTTGGTGTACCTTTAAGTGAATCAACATATGGAAATCCAGCATGGGGAAAACCGCTGGGGACATGATCTACTTTCATACTGGATGTTCCACTTTTCTTTATATGTCACCCTTTGGTAATTTTTCACATAACTATGGAGAATCACCTTTCTTGATGGTACCATCTGGTTATTTAACATAGCCATGGAAAATCCCAACCATAAATGGAGGTTTCGTTCGCTGGGAAAATCATCTATTTCTATGGGCCATCTATACCATGGCTATGTAACCAATAACCAGAGGGTATATTTTTCACATCTACTTTCATGGGCTTTTTTTTATACCATAGCAAAGTGTAACAGTCATTACCAGAAGGTATTCCACAAAAAAATGATGCCAAAAAAAATGCCGCTGTTATTATTTCAGCAGTTATTTAACAGATTTATCCTTAATATGTGTCCCCTTTAATGATTTTCCATATGATGCAATTGTATAAACAGTTTCCTATTGTGTATTGTACAACTATTATATTTGAAAATAATTGGATAACTATAGGATATCCCATAATATTCATATGGTTTTAGATGAGTTTCCACTAAATTGGGCAATTCTCTGGGTCACCCCCCTTTCCATATGGGGTGAGGGGGGGCCGTGAACACGAGACACGAGACCATACAATATTCATCCCATCATCATCCTATCATGATATCAATAATTCTAGATTCTATCTATCTATCGGTATCTATTGATCTATCTATCCATCTATCTATCTAATCTAATCCAATCTAAGCTAAGCCAATCTAATCTAATCTAATCGTATCTATCTATCTATCTATCCATCCATCCATCCATCCATCCATCCATCCATATATATATATATATAATCATCCTAAAGTAGATAGAATATTTTTTTGGAGGGTGCGGGATTTATGTTGGAATTATGTTGGATGTCGGCCACTTAAAAATAAATAGGTAGTTGGAATATTTCGGGGGAGGTCGAAAACTGGTAGTTGGAATATGGTTTGCAGGGTCTTAAGCTGCTGTGGGGTCTGCGCGTGGTGTTCACAATTCCCTCAAAATATTCTATCTACCTGGTTTGAAACAATATTCTATCTACTTTTTGGTGTTGTTTGATTTTTGTATTTTTCAAAATTTCTCCAGACCCGTGTCCAAAACTGGCTAAAAATGACTTAACAAAGACGAAAAACGTGTAAAAACTGAGGGTTTCGAACATATTCCAACTATTTATTGTTATTTTTGAAAACCATTTTTGAAAATCATTTTTGAAAATGTCCGATATTCTATCTACTCCAGGATGACTATATATCTATACACCCAATACACAATACATATTAATGTGCCATTTTCTCTGTCACGGGGAATGCTAAGGCACAGACCCCCAGCAGTTGTCAGCGCAGACCACTTGGGTGGTGCGAATTGGGAAGACGCGGCCGCCCTTGACGCCCGGATCACACGTGGTGAAAGGATGGGGGTTTAATGATGATTTAATGGTGATCTAATGGTGTTTTCATTGTGATTTAGTGGGGACGTGGTGATTTCATAGGAAATATCACGATCCAGGGGAGATCCTATCAACCAACCATGAAAAAAAGGTACGGAAGTTGTAGACACTCCAAGTATGAAAATGGGTAAACGTCTCAAGACATATAGGGTAAATGATCGCAGTGCACTTGGAGGGTCTAGGCATTGATTTTATGGATGATTGATTCAGCATTATGAGATTACATCATCACCATATTGAGGCAAGCATTTCTGGTGATATTTTTCTGGGTTTGTTTTATGGGGATATATTCAACGAACAATAAACATATGATTTGTGTCTGAAAATGTGGACATCTTAAATTGTAGAAACGTTGGAGAACCAAATATATAGATCATATGGATATCCTATGAGGATAGAATGGGCTATTAGCCAACACTATGATATTCGGATGTATCCAAAAGGGGATTTTTTCATTGGGAAAATGATTTTTTGAAGCACCGATTTTTGTGAAATGGGGTACCCTATCTTCAGACAAACATTTAACATGGTGCATAGTTTTATGCCTCAAACATTTGGGAGATGTAAAAATACTGTGAAGCCGCTAGCAAATTTGAGATGAGACGTGGCTTTAGATCAAGATTTAGGATCCGATTGAGAAATCGATGTCATTTTGGGAGGTATCCAATTTGACCCATCACCAAATGGCGTTTATGCGTTTATTGAAAGTTCTGGTTCATGTCAGTTCTATTCCCAAATGGCGAGATTTCAGCCACAAAAAATTATCCATTCACTTTACCAATTGGATAGTGGCTATGCAGCCCATTATCATACAATATGATATCATAGGTGCCTCTGAAAAGGGGGTATAACCATCCAAATGGATCCAAATGGCTCATTGGGAAAATCATCGACCAGGTCCCAAGATATGAAGAAATCGGTTTGTTAGTTTTGTTGTTTAATCATGTTTAATCACTTTGCCATGTACTTTACCAATTAATGTTCCATCCTGTAGAATCTGTTGAAATCGCCGCCCCTTAGGATTTCTGAAAGCCTGCCCGATATCAGAGGCGCAGTCGACCTGGCCAACCCGGCGGAAGTCCCGGATTTTCATTACCCTCTGGTAATTTAACATAGCTATTGAAAATGGCCATTTATAATGGATTTTCCCATTAAAAATGGTGATTTTCCATAGTTATGTTAGTTTACCAGAGGGTAACCAATTTGTTTCTTCCAAAAAAATGGGGGGTACCCTCCAAATAGATCCAAATAGTGATAATATGATACTTAATATGATAATTGGTCCCCCCCAATTCAACAGCCGTTTGGGGTTTATGAATTCAGGGTTGATCGTAGTTTGGCGACTGCATTCAACAACATCCTAGCGGTCCTAGCGCTGATCAACAAGTGGTTGTTGGTCTGATTTTTCAGTTGTTGGTTTCCAACAACTTGTAACTCAGAACTTTCTGATTTTGGTTTCCAACAACTTGTTATGCTTTTCTGATTTTTTCTGAAGTTACAAGGTTTCAAAAACATCGAACTTTCCCCTTGTAACTTGGCATGGCATGATCCAGTGGATCCATTTCAGGGAATCTCCCAGCAAAATATGGCCAGAGATATGGTACTAACGTAGCTCCATTTTAGGATCCATTTTAGATCTCCCTTTGAAATGGGATTTCATAGTGATTTCATGGGATTTCATAGTGATTTAGTGGGATTTTATAGTGATTTAATGGGCCTTTATAAAGGGAAAATGGCTTCATTCCCTTTGATCCAGGTGGTTTGACCCGGACCAGGTGTGGTGGGCAAACCCATCCATCGGAAGATTCCGGAGGGTGTCATTGTGGACCCCATGGGGACGCGGCTCACCTTCACCGCATTTGAAGAGCACGGCGAGTTGCCCAAGTGGTTGCTTGGTGGAAAGAATCGCGAAAGTATGATACTTGGCTTGTTTAAAGTTTCCTGTGAATGGTTGAATGGATTAACGATATATATATATATATATATCACTTATATATTAATCTAATAACATATCACTATATCATACCATATAAACATATAAACATATATATATTATACATCATAATTTGCATTAAATCAGCCAGTCGTTGGCTGCTTGACTGCGATGCGAGACTTTCTGCGATGCTTGTGGCTTCTATGGCTTAAAACCTTGGGTTGGAGCAGCGAGTGAAACGAAAACGTTGGTTAAACATCTTCAACTTCTAATTTTAAAAACTATATTAGTTACTATTAGTTACATATATGGCTATATATTTTTAAATGAGAAACTATATATATATCCATTAGAGTTACTATTAGTTACTATTAGTTACTACTAGTTGCTATTAGTTACTATTAGTTACTATTAGTTACTATTAGTTACCAGTAGTCACTATTAGTTTCTATTAGTTACTATTAGTTGCTATTAGTTACTATTAGTTACTATTAGTTACTATTAGTTACCAGTAGTCACTATTAGTTTCTATTAGTTACTATTAGTTACTATTAGTTACTATTAGTTACTATTAGTTACTATTAAATGATTACTCTTCAACATACATATGTATATATATAATATATACATAGAGCCAAGCCGGTGACCGACCCCCGCCATGGCCGAGGTTGAAGTTTGACCCAAAGACGATGACCTTTACAGGCATACCTCCAGAGCCCCAAGGCCTACATGTCTACGTCAAAGGAACTACGGAGGACGGACGGATTGGCTGGCCTCGAAAGCGGAGCTAAACATGGAAAAAACATGGAAAAACCATGGAACAACCATGGAAAAGTCTCTTTTTTCCAGATATTCCATGGGTTTTTCCATATTTTTTCCATGTAAATATTATACAGTATGTACACCTCTGATGCAGTTCAATGAAATCTGCCTATATTTGCACTACAGAAAGCATGAGTCAAATGTGAAACGCGCCATACGGGTAATTACAACTAGATCCATGTAGCTAGCAAAATCTGAGTTTTATCTAGTGATGTCCAGACAATATACTGTAATTACAACTCAGGAATAAAATCCAAGCAGTTTGGAATAAAAACAACGGTTGGTTGATATGTTGATGTGGTTTATATACATTTTTGTAGGGATATAATGGGACATGTAACTTGTTTACAGTATCAGGGGAATTTATGTTGTCTCATGTCGTGTCTTAAAACAATCAGAATTTACTCAAAGATAATAGCGTTTTAATAGGGAAATGATGCCGAACTAGTGGATTTTTCAGGCATCCACAAACAGAAAGGTCTCCACTCGAAATCGTCATAGCCGGAAAGAATGGATAGCCACTAGTCAATCAATGGCCATGACTCAGGAACCGATTTATGAAGGAGGTACCTACCATTCCCCGCATTTTTTTTGGCCAAAAATATGGTACATTTACCTACCTCCATTTATTTTCTTATCCTGAAGTTCCCATTGAGTCAATAGGAGTTCCGATCTTTCCGAGCCAAGGAGCTGATGCTGATGACACCAGTGAAATTACATCATTGATATACCATCCATGGGCGATTATGATTATATGATATTATATATGATTATATAGTATATATTCCTATTGTCCCATTATCCAGGATTATATATTACTATAATCATATACTATCATGAAAATTATACAATCTGTTATATTGTTATATTATCCCATTATATTTTCCATTATTGTCATTGAATATAATCATATGATCTATGGTTCTATTATCCCATTATTGTTCTATCCATTATTCTATATTATATTGCTCATGACTATCCCATTATTATCATATGTTAGCTACCAATATTCCCATATTTATCCTATATTGGCCTTCTTGGTCTCCTCAAAACCTTCCATGACATTCATATTATTAGAACACTACATCATTACATCATTACATCCATCCAGACTGGATATATTATCATTATCCCATTCTATTCTCCCATTACCCTCTGGTAACTTAACAGTACCCAGAATGATGGTGCGCTAATCTGGTAACTTGCCATCTGGTTCATTGATTTACCCATCAAAAATGTTGATTTTCCATGGTTATGTAAATGTTTGCCAGAGTGTAGTGGTCATTCTTCTAAGCATATGAATTGGTTTACCATTATTATATCATCCATTATATGATATTATGAGTTATTGTCATATTTTTTCATATTTATTTTCCACATCGTTATTGTCCCATTATTGTCATTTTTCCTATTGTTATTTTCCCATTATGTTCTATTAGTTATTTTCCATTGTTATTTTCCCAGTATTATCAGCTATTTTCCTATGTTTTTCCATATTGTTCTTATCCAACATTTCATTTTTTTTTTATTGATTGATCTATACATACATATACATATATACGTATAATTATATATATATTATGAGTCATTTTCCTATTGTTTTCCAGTGTTATTATACCATTCTTGTCATTTCACTCTTTTTTTCTAAGCCGTTGGGAGGGGCATTCGCTTTCTGTCCGCTCCAGGATGGGCTCTCAGGGCATTCGCCGCTGAACGTCCTGGTGGCCAGTGACGTGTCACGGGTATGGTGAGTTTTTCCGGTGATATCACAGTTCATTAAGGGATCTTAAGGGATAGAAAGTGGATAGAAATGGATAAAACCATGGTGATGTCATTATAGAAATGGATAAAACCATGGTGATGTCATTTGAGATATTTTGAGATATTTCAGCAAGAATGTTTGGTATCACCGTATCACCGTCCTGCGTTTTTGTTCGACTGCGACATCTGCAACCATCCTTGAAAAAGACTGAACGAATTTCAGGGTGACGATCAAATTTCCGCAGGCTTCCCTAAGGTTGAGGGATATACGAAATGTCGCACCAGATCCATCCTTATCCGTCCATCAGAACAGGTGGTAACTGGCAGGGTTCAACTATAGGCTAACTCTAAAGACCTAAACCCTAAAGCCCTACTCTAAAACTGAACTCCCTAAAGGCCCAAAGTCAAAATTACTGGGTATATAGCCAATGCTTTTGCAAGTTCGAAACCTCAATCAACCCTCAACTGCTGAAACTTAGAACTCTGGTTGATTGGTTTGTTGTGAAGGTTGCAAGATGTTATAGACGAATCAGGCTGTGGAATTAGCCACTTTCGTTTGATCATCACGTTTGATTGCCAGGCAGAGTTGAAGATCTTAACGGGACCTTTTCCAGGGTTTAAGTTTAACCCCCTATCAACCAGGGTTAATCCCCCCATCAATCCCTGCCGGGGGCTCATTGGCTTCTGTTTCAGCGTTACCATTAGAGAAATTGGACATGATTATCATCCATTGTCTATTACCTTCTTTCATTTAGCATCCATTCTAATGTGGTAAAACCAAATGCCATAGACAATCCCCACTTCCATGGTAGTTGTTTGTGGCAGCCAGAATTTTCCACCTTATTATTGGGTTTATTATTGGTTTTACCCCATCTATATTCCATTATGTCTGTATACAATATATTAAGTATATGATTCCCAATGACATATTTCCCATTCATACACATATATACAGTATACATGTATACATATTACCATATTACCAAAATTTATCCAGATAATTCCGATCTTACTCCCACGATATTACCATATTATTCCCCACTAATCATCTATATCACCATAGTATTACCATAGTATCACCATATATTGCAATATATTACCATATATTGCATTAGTATTACCGTGTTACCCTAGGTAATTTAACATAGCTATTGAAAATGGCCATTGACATAGTTGATTTTCCCATTAAAAATGGTTGATCCACAGTTATGTAAACGTTTACCAGAGGGTAACATATATTACCATAGTATTCCCATAGTATCACCATAGTATTACCATATATCACCATATATTGCCATATATTGGCATAGTATTACCATCAGTATTCCCATGTTTATCCTATATTGGCCTTATTGACACCAACCCTTATTGACACCAATCCTCCGAGGCGAATCGGTGAATGACCGAGCCAGAGATTTGATTTCCATGATGTCCTCCTGGCCAAACCAGAAATGCTTGGGATTTATTGACCAACTAGGGATTTATGATATGATTATAATGAATGTTGGTATAACCATATTGATTATATGAATTGATGAATCTTACTGGTGCTAAACGTAGGGAATGAGGGAATGATCCACTGGCTAACTATCAATAATCATCCCAGCAACCCCCAGCAACCCATCCATTCCCTACGTTTAGCACCAGTAAGTAATGTTGGTATAACCAACTGGGGATGTATTTTTTATGATATAGAAATGCTTGGTAGAAGTTGATTATAATTGTCATAACCGGGGATTTATTATATAATCGGAATGATTAGAGACGGTTGGCAGGTATAAGTTGATTATAATTGTATGACCAACTGGGGATTTATTATAAGATTAGAAATGGTTGGTATAAATTGATTGATGTTGGTACAACCAACTGGGGATTTTTCATGCTGAAGATGTAAGGTCTAGATCAAGCATGCGCTGAGTGACTATACTACCGTTGTTTGGCACTTGGGATTTCGGGGTATTTTTTTAAAGGAAAAAAACATGAACTGAATGACCAACGAAATCATGGGTTTTGGATTTAATTTACAAGACCTTTAGGATGATATTTTTGAGAGACTTGGTGATCTTGGTGTCAATAGATGAATAACAAATCTAGCATCGACTCGCATGCTTCGCACTGCTTTCGTCGTCATCCCACTGCGTTACCCAATTTTGACCCAATTTTGAACTGCACACTGCGGACAAATCATTGATCATAGCTTGCCATCTTGCGAACAGACTATCACCTTGCCATCATAGCTTTTGCCGATGCTTTTGGAATATGTTCGGTCAACATTCCGTCAGTGGACTTGTCTGAGTTCAACGAAGAGGCTAAGCCTGGAACCGGAACTGCGTCGGATGAAAAGCACCTTAAGGCGACGACTACCTCAACTTTCTTTCCTTCCTGAACCAATAAACATATATATATATTATTATATTATATATATATATTGTGTGTGTATGTGTCTGTGTGTCTCTGCGCCAGTGTCCGATATCCACTTCTTTGTTGGATATCTCTGCAATTGGGCAAACCCAGCGCCAAATGCTGTGTTTTTCAGGTCTACAAGGCGCTTCCCCCAGACTATACTATCATCTGGGTGTAGAAATATGGGTAATGTTTGCTTTTAATGGGTTTAAGCTTGCTTAAGCCATATGTGCCATGGTCACAAGTATCACGGGTAACATGCCTCCAATCTGCATCTCCGGTCAAGGAAGTAAATCTGTTTATGTGAACTGCTGAGGTATTTCCAACCCGAAAAAAACATGCTTCTGTTATGTGTTTAATCTTTGTCAACGCTTTGCAAACTCTTAAATACATATCAGATAAAGATATTTTGCCGACGTTTGATACCTCGGGTTGCTCATCGCTGCGGAGATTGGGTTATCAAACTAACGCCCAAGGGCTATAAATACGCCCCGTATTGAAAAGGAATGCTGTAACCTTATGAGAGCTCATTTTTTTGAAGTATGGCCAACCCTAAAAACGTCATGAGCCAAATCCAAAAACCATTGAATCCACCATCCTTGCAAATTGATGATGTGGCAGAAGATAGTGCGAGGCAGTGTTTCGCAAATTACATGAGACTGAAGAAGAGGAATGCTAGGGGTAAATTAAAAAAGAGGTTGCCTTGTACCTTGGCACTTGACAATTTGGTCACGCCTTGCGATTCCTCACCCTTCCTGTTCTGTTTTATTACCCACTTCCCTTTGGAGTAAATCTTGCGACACTACAAGTAGGTGCATGATGCATGTTCTTATGGTATACCAACTCTTGGGGCGCTCCGATTGTTGGCCCCGGTCTTCTCTTGAGCTTCACGATATTCATTCACCACAGTTTCAGATGCACTGACCCCACCACCAGAGTCCGGGGCTGTGTCATTATGGACCTATGAGTTCAGTGGAGTCACAAGTTAGATTATTGTATACCACTTGATTGTGGCTCTCAAATCCAATTTTTGAATCATTATACCATGTTCATCCATTTTCCAATATTTTCCATATTTTCCCAGATCATAATCCAAATTGGTATACCAATCTGGTTGGTGGTTTCAAACATGGCATAACATGGCTTTTTTTTTCCGTTTCATATATGGGATGTCATCCTTCCCATTGACTCATATGTTTCAAGATGGTTATTGCACCACCAACCAGATTATATATATATATTATATTAACCATATATTAATCCATATATTATACCAACCAGCAATTGATTGGGGGCCATTTTCATCCATTTTCCCTAGGGATTTTTGAATCTATCAAGGCCCAGAAAAACCGCAAATTCTGTGATTTCTGGAGTGACAAGGATCAAACAGGGAAGATCCCATGATCAAAAGGATTAATTATCCTATTGCTATATCATCATCAATAAATATATGTATTATATTAATATATATATAATATACACTATTATACTATCTATTTTCATGTGTTGTTTTTGTTGTTATCGTCGTGATTTCTGGAAAAAAAACACTATTTCATGTTGTTTACCATACTATTATACAATATTATACACACATTTTCGTCATTATTCATGTAATAAATCATGATCCAACGCCGTGATTTCTGGAAGATCAGGGCCGCCGCTCCATCCGCTGAGGCCAATGGTATCGCCACCTGCCATGGATCCGCCGCCGTACTGCGTTGAGAATGACGTGATGTACGAACCCATTGACATGATCCACGGCGGCCACGGCGCTAAGCGTTGCGCGCGGTTCTTTATGGAGATGGATGGAGATGGTCAGAATGGATGGTGAGATTTCTGCATGACATTTTCGTGTTTTTTTCATGATGTTAGGAAATGCTAGGAACATATGGGAAAATCATTGTGAACTAGTCATGGAGATTTTTCGGAAAACTGTGAAAGTCATCGAAGTAGATGGGAGGATAAGTGGGGAGTAGTTACAGAACTGTTTAAAAAAAGGGAGATGTCCCAAAAAATGGGAGGTCTCAACATGGGACATTTGTTTGCGATCCAGCACTCAGCAATCCGCAAAGAGGTTGCCATTTTCGGAGTTGGCGCTTCCGTTTTCATCAAAAGCAGTGGAAATTCCTCGAAGTATTCAGAAGGAGTTTTAGAGCTGGGAAAAATCATCTATAAACCAGTGGATTTTCGAGCAAAAGACATGAATTTTAGGAATGGGAGCATCATCTAAATAAACTCTAGATAACCATATAGATAAACGATCATGCAAATTGGAAGTGCAAATTTGGTTCGGAAATTCCCTGGTAATATCCAGAATCATATCGTTGCCCAGTCCCATTGGGAATGAAACACCTTAGTCTGGTAATCTAACATGGCTATGGAAAATGGTCCATTAAAAATAACCTAAAGTTTTTCTAGAATTTTACAGACATTTTTACATTAAAACCTACATTAATGTACTATTTTTCTGGATGATTTTCCTGTTCAAAAGCCGCAGGTTGTTCCTTTCTTGGATTTCCCTTTTCGCCACCAGGAACATGACCATCACCAACATCACAGCCAAAACCGTGGTGGCCTCTTGGCCGGTGGAAGGAATTAAAGTAGTCAGATCGGATCATTTTGGAGAGATTCTGAGATCATAGATCTTCAAAATGAACATATTAATCTCCAATATTCGATATGGGTATGGGTCAATACCTATAGATACCATATTTTAGTGGGATGAACATCCATTTACCAGCTATTTTGGGGTTCACTAGGTACCAGGGTTTTGACACATATTAGTATATGTTCATATCCGATCATTTTGGAGAAATATGAATAATTATGAATATATACACCTCATTTTCAGACACACACAGAGAGAAAAAAACAAGTGTGTGTTTTCCTTCTTTTTGGGTGGGTAAGAATTTTTTTCACGCTCTCTTTTTGGGTGGAGAACTTGCACTACGATTTGAGAACCGCCAAAAAAACAGGATAGATTTACCATGTTTATACATGTTTTATTCGAGCTTTTCGGTGAATTTGAATATAGAATGATAGAATTGTTCCAGATTTTTTTCATGATTTGAAGCAACATTGATGTCCCAACCACACAACATATGATAGAATTGAAATGCAGGCCCTTAAATTTGCTGTATGAAAAACAAAGACGACTCGAGCCACGTCCGGCTGCCTAAGTTGTTTTTACCAATCCCAGAAAGCCGAGTAAGGGGACTTTAAGGAGACCACATATTTTGATAAAACCATGGGAAAACCATGGGAAAACCATGGGAAAATGGTGATTTATATAGTAATAATGACTGGTTGGTGGTGACTGGAACCATTGATTAACTATGGTTTATGGTAGATACAACTATAATTCATGGGGATGATTAATTCATGGTTTATAAACCAACAAACACTGGTTGCTGGTGACTGGAACATGAATGGATTATGACTTTCCAGAAACAGTTGGGAATGGAATGTCATCATCCCAACTGACTTTCGTTGTCCATCATTTTTCAGAGGGGTAGGTCAACCACCAACCAGGTATATATATATAATTTGTATATAGATTATATTAACCATCTATTAATCATAGTTGTTGGTTAACTTGTTTTTTTTTCAACCAGGTATTTTCTCCCAGCTGGGAATCCCATTCGGATTCTTGGTGAAATCCCAGCGCTTTCCGTCATGTGAGGATTGTATGATCCAGTGCCGAAATGCTCCAGACTGCGGTTACTTCTCCTTTTACTTTCCGCTGAAGACACTTGGCCGAAGAGAAAAAAATAAAAAACCTGGAGAGAACTCCACAAACTCAACATGTTTTTTGAGCCCATCATGGATCAACCAGAAGGCCAGAAATTATAAAAGACATTCGAATTATTATACAATACCACCAAGAAGGCTTTTCTCTGGGAGTTCAAGTTAGGTTCGGTTCCATCTTCAAAAAGTCAGCAGTCCTTCAAACTGCTGCTCGAACCTTCAACCTTTGGTTTATTGAGAGTTATATCAAGCATGAAATGGGAATCCTTTTCTCAACCAAGCTCATTGTTCATGGATTTTTCATTCAAGGCGAAAAACAATATCTCAGAATATCACAACATAACGATACATCGTATCCCATGGTAAGTCTATCCCATTTAAAACCAGTACTCTTCCAATCCAAAGGCGTCGTGTTTTTTTTCGGAGGAATCCATGGGATCATGGATCATTTTCTTAGGACAATGGGATGTCATCCACCAACCCATTGACTTGAGTGAAGTCCCATGATTTTTGAAGATGGTTAATTATACCAGCAAGCAGATATGATTAATGATATGAGCACATATGGAGCACATATGGGTTAAAACCAGGCTTTTGCCATATGGTTTTCAATTAATGTTAGTTAATTATGTTCGTTTAGCCTTAAGGGATCCCCTTGGTACTTGGTGCTTCATCACGTTCATCCCAGAAATCGTAATCTCCAACAACACCAGGGTAATAATTACCGTCCGGAAATCTTTCACGTGGCAATGGAATATCTCCATGGAACATCTTCATATGATTTTCCAAGCTCTAAACCTCTATTTACATCCATTTACTAATGGTTTTCCCATATTTTACCATGGTTTTCCCGTGATTTTGCCAATTTTTCGTCGGGGCTCGAAGCCTTCGGGCTTCGTCGCAGGGTTTGTCACTTCTCGTCGCCCATGGCTACGAAAGCCACCGGCAGCCACTGGGACGATGGGGGAATGTGTGGTTGGGATATGTAGCCTCCAGGAAACTAACATAGCTATGGAAGCCATGATCCGGTTATAGATGATTTGACCTTCAATTTGAGAATCTGGTTGCTGGTGACTGGAACATGAATGGATTATGACTTTCCAGAAACAGTTGGGAATGGAATAATCATCCCAACTGACGAGTTGTCCATCATTTTTCAGAGGGGTAGGTCAACCACCACCCAGGAGTGGTGATTTTCTATAGCTATGTGAAATTAATTAGCGGTATATGTGTATATCATTTTATGTCTATATGAATAGGGTATAAGAATGTTATGATTATGAATATTATTATGGTGTTATTAGTATGAATATGATTAGGGTATAAATTAAATATGATTATGAATGGGCTATTTTTAGTGTTTATACACTTATAATCAACACTATGAATATGATTATAGATGGTACATATATATATACACATATATATATGTATATATATATATATGATCATGATCTATTTACTATATGTTTATAATGGGATGATCATGGGATATCTATTGGGATCTATTGGGATTACATGGTGCAGGGTCATCCCAAGGCCATCCCCAATGGCAATGGTGGTTTCCAGAGGTCATGGGGGTACCCCAATTAGATCATCCCAATCTAAGATTGGGATTTTCCATGTGATTTTCCATATCATCCATTTTAGATTGGGATTTTCGGAAAATCCATGATTTTCCCTAACGATAATATTTGGGTAGACCCAATTTTTCGGAACCCCCCTTTTTTTAGGGTGTAGAAATCCAACTCTTTACCGTAAGCTGCCCCCAATGGTGGATTTTCCAGCGCTGGGGAATCCCCGAAGTAGCTTGTGAAGTTCATCGATTTTATGGGCGAGTTGTGGCTTTCCGGAGGGTAGGGCGTGCTGCAGAAGGTTTGGAATTTGACTCGAGAAGTGACTGCGAGTGAGTCAAGTATAGTTTTATGAAATTCCTCATTTTAAGTTGAAGTTGAACAGTTCAACTCCCCACTTTTTGGGTCAACGTCCCCCCACCAAGGAATTGGTTTTGTTGGCGGGGGTGCCATATGTCCTCCGAATGACCCACAGGCAGGGCTGACGGGTGGCCCTGCGGAACGAATGCCGGCACCAGCAGAAATGAGATTGGACCAACCAGTTTGTCTCATTTTAGTGATATAATTTTAGTTTATCTCATTGATCTCATTTTGTAACCAGAATATTGTAGACTGATATATTGTATATATACATATTTTTTCTTGGTTATATTCAAAACTCACCAGCAATATTTCCGAAAATGCGGCAAAAACATCGGTATACGGCAAAAACCCCTAAGACATAGATCCAACAATGGCAATTTTACTATGGATGTAACCAGCCCTGAAGGACCTCATAAATGCTTGGTCGATATTGGGAAACCATGAAAACATGGCTCATGGATGCTCATGGCTCAGGTTTAACAAACGTGGATGAGGTCCTTCCTTATTCATGTCCTATTTAAGCCTTAATCAAACTAATCTGGGTAAAACAATAATAAACCATCCCCCAAATCGCTATTTTTATAGGTTCTATAAACTATTCCCAAATGGGTGGCTTGTTTTACCCACATTGAATGAAATCAGGTTTGAGATTCATCTTTTGATCATCAAACGTTCACAACGTGGATGTGACCTCTGGAATAAAGCATCAGTTTTCACCCCAACGTGCAGTATACGTGCAGCCCTCTGGTCTAGTGCTTGCCGCATGGCAATCATGGGTTGGTCAAGAGATTACTCCCAAGCAGGTAGATAGTAGAAGCACATTTAATATTCATGTGCACCATCATTTACGGGCAATTTTCCGCGAAAGCAACCGCGAAAGATATTACAAAACACATGTTGCCGCGAAAGCCAAAACTGTGCGCGCGAAAGAACCGCGAAAGCCGTCGCGAAAGCTTATAAGGATTAGAACCAAATTGCTACCCGGTTTTCGACGCCGCTCATATGTTATTATCAGGTTCTCCTTGAAACAATCAAATTGAGTGTTTGGTGGTAAACTTACAGTTTGCTATTGAACATGGACATAGAAATCGTTGATTTACCCATTAAAAATTGTGATTTTCCAGTTCGTTAAACGTTTACCAGAGGGTATAGCCTATAGCTGTCATTACTTGTTTTTTTCCTTTCTGGATTAACCCGTGCATCCAAGATTCGAGCACCAGACAGGGGATATATTTGTGATATGAGGGTTTGGTCTCAGGGAAAACTTACTTGAAAGTGATCTTTTTGGATAAAATCATATTATGTCCTGCACATTTTAATCCCTGAAATCATCCAATGAAGATGGGTTTTAGCCCCCAAATGTGAGCCATCAACACAACTGATGGTCAAACAGGGCTTCGCCAAGGAAACAAGTGATGCTGATAGCAGAAACATGCAGAGACAATTATTTGGAAACCCGTAGTGAACACTTAGTATCAGTTGTAGTCTTCGGGGTATATGATGGTATATGTTTATCTCATCACATCCCAGTAGTTAGTGATGGAGTTACAACCCTCTTATAATAACCACCTAATCACGATCGATCACCGTCTTTTGTCGCCAGGGGAAAGCGATGGTAGGAATGAAGCAAGACACTTGTCAAGCAAGAGGTACTGTATCTGGGTCTGCCTGAAAATGGAGGATTAATCCCAATTTATGGTCATTTTTAAAATGATTAACTATAGCCATTAGAAATTTGCTTATAGGAAAAATGATTATCCCATTCTCAGACAAACCTGCATTTGGCGAACCCCATCCGAACCCAGAAAACTGCACTTGTTGTGATCTTCTTTACACAAACGATGAGTGCAAACTTGTACAAAAGGGGATATTGGGTTTCCATACCATGGGTCACTGTCAGTCTAAATGAAAGTCTATTCTATAAGATATCGAGTAGCAGAATATCTGATCAACTAAAGGTATAAAGTTTGCAAATTCATGTTGCCATGATACAAGTGGCACCCTCATTGTCTCTTGATTGAGAACACAAATATAAAAGGCTACCCTCTGGTTACTGGTTGTTTAACATAGCCATGGAAAATAGCCCATCCGTATTTTTTTTGATGATTTACCTATTGAACATGGTGATTTTCTATAGCTACGTTAAATAACCAGAGGCTACATGGATAACGAAGCGGTACCGTAATCGAACATGGCAGGTTGGAAAATTTGGACATGGCCGACATTCGGAAGATCCATGGTATCATGTGTATCATTGGGAAATTTCCCATGGGAAACTCCATGTTGACCGGATCGAACCAGACCAAATGGATGACAAATCCCACAGGGAACGGGGCAGTTTTCCACCAGTGATTTCTGACTGTGGAGAAGGTCAGGTCCGTCATTTTGGGACCCAGTTTTCCCAGTTTGATTCTTGTAATCCTTATGATTATGGCCCATAATTCCCCCGATCCCATTGAGTGGGATGGACTGCGGATTTGCTAAGCAAAAAACCCTCTGGGATCTCATGGGTAGAAACTCTGGAAATCAAACGGTACGCACGCTGGAAAATGGCGTACCGTTTGTAGATGGTGTTTTTTCCCTATCCATAGTGGTTTTCCCTAGACTGTAAAGAAATACCAGAGGTTTTTTGCCTGCTAATTACCCAATACCTACCCCATGAATCCCATTGATTCCCCTGAAATTGATGCTTCCCAATTCCCAATCTTCAACCATAGTCACCGTATCATCTAACAAAAAAATACATACAACCAAACCAAACTCACCCAATACGAAGTCACTAAGTGTTGATTGTTGACTTATTGCTTTGGGGTTATCGGCTTGGAAATAGCATCTTACAACTTAAGTTATAACATTATTATATTTAACCCACCATATAACTTAACTGGTTGGTGGTTTCAAACATTTTCTATTTTCCATTTCATATATGGGATGTCATCCTTCCCATTGACTAACTCCATCATTTTTCAAGATGCTTAATTATTGCACCACCAACCAGTAAACATAAATAAACTAACATTAAATTCACCCAGAATTTTCATCATCTTTCACCATCTGACCATTTCTTTCACCCAACATTTTTTCATCCCCACCGGCAACGCTGTACGTTGTGAATCACGGTGCCGAGATGTCGGTGGATTCCAAGTTCGCCACGGAGCGCTGTGCTTCGATTGCTGAAGATTGCTTCGCACTGGGGGGTATCATCCAGCCATCCACGGTAATAATGGCTAGATGTACATAGTAAATATATATGGTACTATTAATTATGGATGTACCATAGATAATCCATATATAATCCATAGTACATCCATAATGAATAGATGGTATCATAGATGGTATAGCATAGTAAATCCATAGTAAATCCATAATAATTCCATAATCCATATATAATCCATAGTAAATCCAAAATTCATAGATGGTATAGCATAGTTAATATGATCTATGAGCACGTTAATTATGGTAATATAGATGGTATGCCCATATATTCATGGATGGTATCCGCATATATTAATCTAGATATTAATATATGGTAGATGGTAATAATTAATGGTCTATAATATCTATAGATAATCTATAATATCTATAAAATAATGGAATTAGTATAGTGGTAGTAGAAATATTACATCTATGGTATGTTAATATATGGTAATAATATATGGTATCATTAATATCATAATGGTATCATTGATGGAATATAATATGGTATCGTTAATGGAATATAATGGTGCATGGTTGGATAATATCATAGTGGATTATATGGTCTATAATATAGATGGTATAGCCATTTACTATGGTAATAATTATGGATTCCCTATAGATATAGAAAAAAAACTGCATGGTTGGAGGGTTGGATTATAATGGAAATATCATAGACATATAGTATAATATGGTATATTAATAATATTATATTTACTATTTTTAACGGTATCCCCATTTACTATGGTATATTTATAATATAAATACATCTATGGTATATTAATAGTAGTATATAGTAATATCTATAGTCATGGGAATATTTACTATGGTAATAATTACAGATGGTATACTCTATGGTATATTTAGTAATATCTATAGTCATGGGATATTTACTATGGTAATATAATAATCCAATCATTTACTATGGTAATAATCAATGGTCTATAATATCTATAGATAATCTTCTTGTATCATTAATAGATGATATATGGTAGTATATGGAATATAATAGAAATACTACATCTATCCATCTATTACCATCTATAATTATACCATCTATATTAGAAGATTAACAATGATCTATAGATAATATATATATATATATATACGTACTATTATATACCATAGTTATCCATAAGTATCCATCATAGCCATAATTCCCCACCATATGGTATCCCTTTTACTATGGTATAGACAAGATGAACCACTATCTATCTATATGGAATATAGATACATGATCTACCATAAACATAAATTATAGACTATGGAATATATATATATAGATGGTCTCCCCATTTACTATGGTATAATTATGGATTATCTATAGATATAGATATGGATTATGATACCATCTATGTTTATACCATAATAATGGCTTGTCTATACTTGAAATATTTAGACCATCCACTTACTATAGATAAAGATGGAATAGATGTGGAAAAAATGTAGACATATAGATGGTATCCCCATTTACTATCGTATAATTGTAGATGGTATAATTCCACTGTTTTATTGGCTGTATTTCTATCGTTATATATCCATCCACTGATGACTATGACTTAATTCCACTTGTACCGGATAGTCATATAGAAACTTAGGTGGTATAATAATCATGGTATAATTCCATGTCATCCGGATGATGACTATGACTATGACATACTATGACTGGATAATTCCACTTATACCAGAATTATATGGAATTATACCATCTAAATTTGTGTGCCTATGAAATTTTAAGCCTAGGGGCATTGAATTTTATCCGTTGATGATTTCATATTTAACTATTTTTTAGTGTACTTCTAGAATACCCCAATGTTTTTGTTGGGAGTTTCAACAAATCCTGCCCGAATTCGCCGAATCGATATTGTTTTAGTGTACTTGTACCAGGTTGCCGGGGTTTTGACGACACTAGCCATATCTTTGGGGAAAATTGAAGGATTAATATCAATAGTTCCTTCACATTCCTTACAATGAGAGAATTCATCTATATTTCATGATATCTTTACAATGGATTCACTAAAGATCGAGATATGTTCTTGAAAAGTGTCAAATGGAACTTATATTTTTAACGGAACTTTTATGTTTTTGATCTGAAGAGTTTCACTAAAGATCGAGATCGCGATCCGTGGTTTTTCACACCAACATGATCGGACAAAAAACAGCGACCACGTTGGGCGAGCACCAACCAACCAGTCGATATCCACCATTTAGAAAGTGGATGTTCCCAACGAACTAAAGCATCAAACCTCCAAGTTGAGGATTTCCCCTGGTTTTTCTATAGCTGTCCCATGGTTTTCCTGTGAAATTCTGGGGGATTTCCCATGACCTTTCCGACCTTGGAACCGCAGGTGGAGTACGGGGGCTGAGTTTCTTCCCTCCCAATGGCCAGGGGAGGTGCAGCCTTGGGAAAATACCCCCAAGATCCTCCCATGGAAACATGTGATTTTCCATGAAATAAACCATCCAGCGATTTATTTGGGTACTCCCGCATTTTAGGAAACTTTCATATTTACCCGCATATGTATATGTGTATATACCACGTATGTATGCTGATTTTGGGGTTGGTTTATTATTGTTTTACCCACATATGTAGATATATGATATATATATATATATATACATATTTATACATGTACTACATGAATGTTGGTTGAATTAAGTACGCTATGGCAATGGTTTTACAAGGTGGCTATGCTCCACTTAGATTCTTAGATCTTGGACTTAAGCACCAGTAAGGTCCATATCACGGAACCATAGCCATGGGAGGCCCGTAATCCATCAATAGCCATGGTTTCATACAAACAATGATATGTTTCAGGTTTAGCCGTCAGTCATTGGATTGGTGGAAAAGCATGTTTTTTTCACGAGCATTTGAGTAAATGTGTTTTTCATTTTTTTCACCCATCATACTGAATTCTGTGGGACATGAATAACCCGTTTTCCGCCAGATTTTCCCCATTAACGCAACAAAAAGCTGGGTCCAAAGCTTGAGGAATCGTAGATGGATTACCCAGAGTTTATCCCATATACTATATTGACACTGTGCATGGTTGCGAAATCCTGCACCACCAAAAGGATCGTTTTTCAACATGTTGAAACCCAAACAAAATGTTGAGGGATTTTTCCCAAGTATTTTTCCCATCGATCAATTGGTGATTCGGATTTCGCCCCATCCGCCAGGCAGAGCAGCTATGTGCAGACCTCTTTGGACTGTCAGGCGGAGTGCCAAAATGTGACCTGGTGTCGTCCCTCGGATCGTGGCGTTTTTGGGGGTGGAAAAAGCCATGGAAAAACCATGGAAAAACCGGTGGAAAAAGCCAGGAAACAGATGTGGAAACCCCATGAAAAGCCATGGTTTCTCTGGGAAAATCCATCATGAAGGGGTGGGTGTTCCAAATCTATGTTAGTTTGCAGGAGGGTATTTTGATGGCTGGGTGATGATTTTTGAAGTGACTTTTCAAAGATGGAACGATTGAGGGAATTCAAAGGGATGGACAGATACGGAAAGGTTTTAAGGATTTACCACTCCAGTAAACGAACGTAGCTATCAAAAATCTGGTATCTATAGATTCTGCACCTCTCATACATGGTTATTTTATGTTATTTTCCATAGTTCTGTTTGTTTGCCAGAGGGTAAGTGATGTCGTGGTTCAAGCAGAAAATAGACAGATGATTGGTCTAAAAAATGTCCTGTTGACTAGACTACGATACTAAGAGAGCTAGGGATGAATAGCTGGAGAGCTAACAGAATCAGTGGGGTTTTGAAACGGAAACGGATGGTCATCACCCACAAAACATGGAACATTTTTCTCGGAACACCATCGGAAAACGACAGGAAAATCATGGGAAAATCATGGCCACATTGGTTGCTATGATCATGGTAATCTCCACGAGTCCCAAGCATAGCCGATGCAGGTCATTTGTCAAAGGCCCGCTCTTTTTGGCCTATTTTTTGATATCTCAATAACATCACTTAACTCAATGAAAAAAGCTCTTGAATCTATATCATTCTATATCTATGTATATATATACATAATCATATATATATGCATATATATATATATGCATATATATCCTCAAAATATATGTATCCTATATATATACACATTTACATATATATATATATATCCTGAATATATCTCCCCAACATCTACCCCAATCGCTTTCCCGATGCCCTTTATACTGTGCTCAGATAGCTTCCTCTTCAATACTTTGACCAAGACCTGCGACCTGCAGGAGATCCTGAGCCAAGTGACCTGATCCCCTCTGGCTATGACTAACAGTTCGCCATGGAAAATCACCAATTTTGAAATAGGTAAAGCACCATGTTTAATGGAAAATCACCATTTTTAATAGGTAAACCATCTATAAATGGGCCATGTTCCATGGAAAATGGATGAAAATGGCCCATAGAAATATGGGCCATACCTGGGTTTACCTATTGAAAATGGTGATATTTTCCATGGCTATGTAACAAATAACCAGATGGTACCCTGATTTGTGACGAACAGACGGGACTTATACTACCTAATTTACTGGGCAAACGTATTTCATCGAGATGGGAAAACGGGGTATTTTGAATGGCGCACCTGGGAAAGTCTTCTATTTTTTGGTACCGTACCTATATTCTGAATGGACACATATGAAGATGTAGACAATCTACCCTCTGGTTATTCAACATAGCCATGGAACATGGCCCATTTATAGATGATTTTCCCATTCAAACCTCCATTTATGGTTGGGATTTTCCATGGCTATGTTAGTCATAACCAGAGGGTACATTGAAAAGATCCACTGTACCATCCACTCTTGGGGCTCAACATGGACCCTAAAATCCTAAAACGAATCTTGGGCATATTCGCTTCACCCCCTGAGATCCTTCAACTATTTTTACTATACATCGAGCATAGCAGCATAGTCATGGAAAGTGTGGTTAGTCTGATTCTAAAATATTCTAAATATTATATACTGTAGATATATATATTTATTATATTTATATTATATATACACTTATATATATACATAGTCCCCTGTCACATGATCATAATTTGTGACCGTCGATTTGCGCCTGGAAACTTGGTGTACATTCGAGAAAACTCAAAGGATGATTTATTGGACATGTTTATACAAAATCAAAGGATGAGGATAAGGAATTGCATATGTTACGATACACATCTTAGGATATCTTCGGACACATGTGTTGCCCTTTTGCACTTATTTTTGTGGAACAAAGAACGATGTACATCATTGTTCATCATCATGTTCACCCAACAATTTCATCAAATGGATCCAATGTTCAGAGGCTGAGTTTTCGTGAAAATTCCGGTGGAGGACTGGCAGTCCAAACCCGTTCTGGGCAGCATCTACGACATGGCTGGCCCGGTCTTTTGCTCTGTGGACGTTTACATGGATTTTACGGCGCCTTGGCTGGCCTTTGTAAAAGTTTTCCCCTGTAAACATAGAAAAAGATGTGGGTCACACCCATGATTTCTATAGGAAAATGAGCTACACATCGTGGTTTTTCACATCGAACTCTTAGTTTACCCTAGGGTATCCACTTCTCCCAAAGCCTTTTTTCGAATAAGAAGTCGAAAGTTTAGATACCAAATCATTTTAGATACCTATGAGTAGTAACAAATTGTTGGTAATTGTTGGTAATAATTCTTGTTTTTTTTTAGAGGACAGAATTTAGATAAATCAAATAATATGAGATAGTAAAAAAAACATTTAGCTACTCATATTTTTTCCCGAATGCGTAGCAAGGGTTCCCGTTTCACTCTGGGGGTCTGGGGGTTGAGAGTGTGTTCGCTCGACGTTGCGTCCGCGTTCGCAACCGTTCGCAACCGTCCGCAACCGTTCGTACGAGGTCCGTATGGCCGTGCCTATGGGAAGTTTTGCAGAGGTGGTCATTTTTGGAGGTTTCAGACGTGTCGTTGCTTCGTTTCGCGTGGCAGGCGTGGCACTTCGTGACATTCGGACGTGTTTTGCAACGCGTTGAAAATCGTTTCGCGTGGCAGGCGCAATACTTTTGCGACGTTTTCAGAAGATGTGTTGCAGTTTTCGTGGCAGGCGCAGCACTTTGGGCGTGTCCATCGTCATTTTTCGTGGCAGGCGCAGCACTTTAGACGTGTCCTTTTGCGTGTTTTTTGTAAATCGCATTGGCAGGGCTGCGTCAAGTGGCGACAAGGTGCAAATTCCGTGGCAGGCGTGGCATTTTGTGCGATGCGCTGAAAATTGACGGAAGCCTCGCACGAAACATCGATTTTGAGGTTGCAAATTTTCAGGTTCTAAGGAAAACTCGTAGGAAAACGTGGATTTTGAAGCTGCAAAGTGTGAAAATTGGAGGAAGTCTCGCAGGAAATGCTCGTTTTGGTGCTCCCACCTGTCTTGTCTCGCGTCTCTGGTTTTCCCGTGGCCTCGCCGTGTCTATGGGGGAAGCTGCAAAACTTGTCTTTTTGTCATGATGCCAACTTTGAAAATTGCCGGAAGTCTCGTACGAAATGCTCGTTTTTTTGCACCCACGTGTCGTCTGGAGTCGCTGGTTGTCCTGTGGCGTCGCCGTGCCTATGGGGGAAGCCGCAAAACCTCTCCTTTTCGAATGTTTCCACACAGGTTGTCATGTTGTTTTGCGTGGCAGACGTGGCAGTTTCTGACATTCCAACCTGTCTGATAACGTGTCGAAAATGTCAAAATTGGAGGAAGTCTCGCACGAAATGCTCGTTTTTCTGCATCCACGTGTCTTGTCTCGAGTCGCTGGTTTTCCTGTGGCGTCGCCGTGTCTATGGGGGAAGCTGGAAAACATCTCCTATTCGAATGTGTCCACGCAGGTTGTCATATCGTTTTTCATGGCAGGCGTGGCACTTTGTGACATTCCAACCTGTTTGATTCGAAAATGTCAAAATTGGATGAAGTCTCGCATGAAATGTTCGTTTTTTTGCACCCACGTGTCTCGTCTCGAGTCTCCGGTTTTCCTGTGGTGTCGCCGTGTCTAGGGGGGAAGCTCCGCACTCCACACTCTACACTTTACACTCCACACTCCACAATTTACACTTTAGACTCCACACTCTACACTTTACACTCCACACTTCACACTTTGCACTTTACACTCCTCACTCCTCACCTGAGACTTCACATTCCACACTCCACACTTTACACTACACTTTGCACTTTCCACTCCTCACTCCTCACTCTACACTTTACACTCCACACTCTACACTTTACACTCCACACTCCACACTTTACACTACACACTCCTTACTTTACACTCCAAACTTTCCACTCCACACTCCACACTCCACACTCCACACTTTACACTCCACACTCCACACTTTACACTCCACACTCCACACTTTACACTCCACACTCCACACTCACACTTTACACTCCACACTCCACACTTTACAATCCTCACTCCACACTTTACACTCCACACTCCTTACTTTACACTCCACACTTCACACTCCACACTTTCCACGCCACACTCCACACTCTACACTTTCCACTCCACACTCCGCACTCCACACTACACACTTTACTGTACACTCCACACTTTATACTTTAAACTTTACACTCCACACTTTACACTCCTCTCTTTACACTCCACACTCCACACTCTACACTTTCCACTCCAGACTCCACACTACACTTTACGCTCCAGACTCCACACTTTACACTCCACACTCCACACTCCACAATCACACTTTACACTCCACACTCCACACTTCACACTCCTCACTCCACACTTTACACTCCACACTCCACACTTTACACTCCACACTTCACACTCCACACTTTCCACTCCACACTCCACACTCCACACTTTACACTCCTCACT